CACACACAAACACAAACGTGTATATATATGTTTTTTTTCTCTCAATACTTGAAACTTAGCCACTGTGCTTGAATTAAAAAAAAAAAAAAAAAGAAAAAAACAAACAAAAAATCCACACAAAATAACCCCAAAAATAGGGGAGGAAAAAAAAAAAAACCAAAAAAAGAAAGGTGATTTATTTTGCCATCACTTTGGTGACTTTCTTTTTTATCTAACTGCATGTAGCGTGAAACCAACTTTTTTGGTGAAAAGTATTTATTGCTTTGTAGACAATAAGGTATGAAAAAAAAAAAAAAAAAAGGAAAAAAAAAAAGGAAAGAAAACACCCCAAAAACCAACCCCCAGCCATTGCTGAAGTTGCTAGTGTAGTCCACCTACTATTGTCATGGCTTTGTTGCTGTTGCAGCGTTTGTGTCTGGCGTCTTTAATAGATTTCAAGAAACCTCAGTCTAATTACACGTACCTTCAGGTTTGTGAGAGCGTATGATGATGTTCTTTATAAGGTAATGCTTGATACTTTGTCAACATTTTTTATTTGTGTTTTGTGTGACTTTTTTTTTTTTGGCTTTAAATTGTACAACACCGATTTAAGACAATAAAATTGATTTGAAATTGTTAGTGGCCTTTTTTCAGTCCTTCATGATCCCAGTTCAGGTGGCATCTGAGCGAGGCCTTTATATGTGTGTGTGTGGTTCTACCTGCCTCAACTTTTGGGTAAAAAAGGGCTGTTTTCTGCCCCCTTATCACAGCAGGTGAAGCTTGGGTAGAAGAGCCACCTTTCCTGAATTCACATGAAGCCTGTAAATTTGGGAAAGGTGAAGCCAGTTGCTGGGTGGGAGCTGCAGTTCCTGGTTTCTCTGTCCATATTACTTGACCTCTCCTCCTGCAGTGGTAAATATTTTCCTGCTGTGTTTGTATGCATTACAATTTTGGTTTTTGAGCAGAGCAGGCACACGGCTTAGAATTCTCTTGCCCACGTAACTTTGCCAAAAGTCACTGAACATGGCAAAATGAGCAGTGAGAATGCTGAGAGTGTTGGTCCTGACTTCAGTGCAGGACAGTTCCCTGTTCTGTCTGGACTGGAATACTCTAGGAGGAAAAGCTAAGCCTTGCATCTGGGATGTGGGAGAGGTGCTGAATTAATTAGTCCAGTCCTTCCATTCCTGCAGAAATTTCAGCCACACAGCTGTAAACTTTCAGAAGCCAAATACCATAATTCCACCAAACATTTCCCAAAACTCCACTTGCTGAACTCTGTGTTTTTGTTGCCCATGAGCATCACTGAGGAAAGTCCTGCCCACCAGGCCCTGTGTGATGCAGCGTCAGCCCACAGTTACTGCACAGTGTTGTGGTTTTGTAAGAAAGAATCTTACTTCAAAATCATCATTTACCGTGAGCTGGAATTGTTTTTTTTCTTGCTCTGCCCTGTTTATAACCTCTGTTTCCAGGCCCTGCCTTTCCCACCCCAGGGAATTGCTCTGTGAGAACGGTCCTGCCTAGAAACGCTGGGCTCTTGTTGATGCTGGCTCACATGCAGGGACAGTCGATCCTTTCTCCCTGCAGAGCTGCAGCACCAGCAGTGCTGGGGTCAGCTCTGAGAAACTGCACTTCTGTGTGCTGAAAACGTGCTGGCACAACCTGGGCAAGACCCCACGGCAGCCCTTGGAAGGCTGGTCAGAGCTGAGTAATTACAAAGGCTGTTGGTTCTCTTTTCTGCTCAGCACACTTGGGTCTTTGTTTTTTGAGGGTTTGCAGGGTGGGGGTTTTTTGGTTTTTTTTTTAACATTTTTTCCCTTTTGTAGAAAACCCTCGTGTATGTTTATTCCCTGTAGCATGAGATAGTAGTACATAATACATGTAGAAGTTTCTAATGCTGAGGGTAAGGGAGGGGGGTTTCTTTTGAAGCTGCCCATTAAAAATTTCAGAGGTTCAGGTGAAAATGTTGTAGCCAAATGAAAGATGGACCACCATGTGTCACATGCCTGTGTAGACAGAGAACTCTGTGCTGAATCCATTGGGCTCTTTCACAGGCAGCAGAGCAGAGGGGGAAAGTGCTAGCTGGGAAAACTTCAACAACAGAAATACACACTTTTCTAAAAGCACTGAACCATGGGACCTGGACAGTTCAAAAGCACCAGTGGAAATTGCACAACTTTCTGGATGTTGACTGTGACGTCATGCTGCTGTTGATTCTAGGAGAAAACAAACCCGAGCAATTCTTCCAGGGCATTTGGCTTTGTTCCCACATTTTATATTTAGTTGTTGGTAAGTACGTCAGCAAAAACACACTCATTCAACTCTGAAAGATCAGAGGTGACAGTGACATCAAGGAAGCAGAAACGGGTGGGTGGGTGTTGAACCAAGGCCATACAAAGATCAATTATTCCGCTTCCAGCCCTTTTAAAGCTTTATTTCACGAGGAGTTAACTCCTTCACAGCACGTTTGAGCTCTCTGGTGTTTAACTTGATGTTGGCTTCTCTGCAGTGGCCCCCTGTGCCTGGTCACCTCACACTCCAGGAGGGGAAGGGTTCTGTGCAGGGAAACAATACCCTGGCCTAGCTCTGCAGGGCAGGACCTCGTGCTCTCCAGAGAAATGCTAGAAGTTGGATTTATTTAGATTTATTTCCATAAATGTAGCACTAAGCGTGAGTACCATTCCCTGGGTGAGGAATGGCACGTAGTGCAGAGATGCAAACTTCCCTGGGACATTTCTTTCTAAAAACAGCCTTTTTAGGGACAATAGAGTCAGAACCACCCCCTCTCCTGGGAGATGAAACCTGGCAAGGGATTTGAATGCCTTTAAAAAACATGTTAAACAGTGTATTTCTAAGAAGGGGCTGAAGCATATGTCAAACACAGGTTTCCTCTTATCATGGACAGAGGGTAACTGAGTTCCCAAATGTGCACAATTTTTCTTCATGTTTCCAGCTAATGCCCAATATACAGCTGCTGGGGAGGAGCAGAATAAGTTGTTCTTTCTTTGAGTTTAGCATGTCACCAGTTCCCATCATGGATGTATTAAATGCCTTTTAACTACAACATTTGGTATCTCCTGAACTTCTAGTGCTGTGCAGCAAAGCCCTTAAACTCAACATCAGTTTGGCAGTTTTTTCCTTCCCTTTAACAGAAAACAATTGGAAGGAAGCATTTTTCATAACACAAGCTTTCCTTGGAGCCTTTTTTTTTTTATTTAAAAGAAATTTCATTTCTCTGTGAATTGAAAGCAAATCCTCTTGAAATAAATACCTCCTTTTCCAAAGCAGGCTGTGGGGAGGAAGATGAGAAAGTTGCTTGGGTGACACTGGCACAGCGGAGCAGGAGCAGGCTGCTCAGAGAGGGGACAGCCAGCTGCGGCGGGGCCATGGGCTCTGCCCTGCCGGCCGGAGGGGACAGCCCGCAGTGTCCCCGGGCTGGGAGGAGTGCCAGAGGTGCCTGGCTGGCAGGGGACACTGCGGCCAGGGCTGTTCCCAGGACAGCGGGGAGCTGGCGGTGCGCGTCGCCAGAGCCCCATCTGCAGGCGGCCGCCGCCCCGGCACCCCGCGCAGTGCGGGGTGAGGAGAATTAAGTGAACTGCCCCAAAAAGCATCCCAGAGCCCCGTTGTGCAGCCATTCTGCTGCCCGCTCGACAAAGGTCAGGTGTCTGCGAGGCCCCAGTGGCTGGCACCTGCAGAGCTCTGGCGATGCTGGTTTCAGTGCCAAGAGAACTCGGGACCTCCTGAGGGTCTGGCTCTCCCAGCTCTGGCGAGTCACTTCGATTTCCCCTTGCTTTTGGTAGCAAGATAAAATAGATAAATTATACATGGGTGTTTCAAGATAAAATATGTAAGTTAAAAAAGGAAGGTAGTGCATGCTGTGAGAGGTTAAGAGCACAGCTTGTGCTGCCTGTTTTGAAGCTTCTTGGCTGCTCTTAGAAGGGGTAAGGAGCTGGGATGCCAAAGCTTTTTCCCTCCTGGGATATCCATGCAAGTCTTTCTCCTGTCCCATCACTGTTTTCCGTATCGACTGGCGCCTTCTTCCCTCTCTCACATTTACTGAAAGGAGCCAAACTCAGAAATCAGGGCAGGGAAGCAGGAGGAAGGGATGTGGTGGACAGACAATTGCATAAGATCCACTTCCTAAGGAAATGAGGCAAAAAAAGATTCAGACACCGTGGTTGCAGTGATAGAGAAATTTGTATTCCTGTTTCCCTTGGCAGCAGCCCTGCACTGTGACGGGCCATCTTTTATCACTTCTCCAAGCAAAGTGCAGCTGGAACCCTGTGATAAATCTCCCCTTTGCTCCATCCCACTCCTGAAATAACTCAGAAGTGTCAGTTCGGAAAAGGACGTGCTGCATTTCTTCCCCTTATTAGCTGAAATAATAGGCCTGTGATAATCAGGCCCGCTTGGAAATGTCAACCTTTCCATGTTCCATCTGAATGGAATACAATAATCTCACAACATGCCAGGGAACCCACGGATGACTCTGTCCTACAGAGAACTGGAGTAAAAAACTGTTCCAGGTGCATTTGGCTTTTTGGGAGGGACATGCTGTGGCCTGGTAAGGGCTCCTATTGAGCTCAGCTCCCCCATGAAGTGCATCACTGCAGATAAAACTTGCTGCACGAAGCATGAGCACAAGGATTGCCTGAGCAAGCTGCCTGGAGGAAATCCTGAGGGGAAGTGGAGCCGGAGGTGCCCATGCTTGACACAGACACCAAGAGAAGGTGTGTGGAAAGGGGGACCGATGTGACATCGCTCTGGGAAGGGAGCCGTGAGCTGTTACTGCAGACCGGCGTGCCTTGTGAGCTATTCCCTCCCCTCGTCCTCACCGGGACCGCAGCGCCGTCAGCGCCCGTTTCCCCATGGATAAAGAAAAATGGGCTGCGTTACTTACACAGCCACCACGTACCGCCGGAATGTTAGTTTGCCTTTTCCCCTGCTTTTTGTTTATTTAACAATATGACAGTTTTGGGGTGCGCAGAACCCGTGTGCAGGAGGTGGGGCTGAGCAGGGCAATACCCCCACCCTGGTCACCGCCAACACTTGAGCACGGCGGGCTGTCAGGCTGGGAGCTCCGGAGCAGAGCTGGCTTTACACGCCATCCCTTTTCCCACTGAGAGAGAGACCCGGGAAGGGCTCGGTTTGCTGAACGGACGGCGCTTCCCTCAGCCCACGCCGCTGCCCTCACGGCGCTGCCCTCACGGCGTTTCCCTCAGCCCGCCCCGCTGCCCTCACGGCGCTGCCCTCACGGCGCCCGCTCCTCCGCCCTCCCCGCCGTGTCCTCGCGCGGCCGCCGTAGCGCGCGCGTGTGCGCCCCGCGCGGCGCTGTCGCTGCGCAGCGCCCGCGTGAGTGGCGGCGGCGGCGGGCGCGGGGCTGAGGGCGGCGGGCGCGGCCTCTCCGCCCGGCGGCTCCGGGGGCGATGTTGCGGTGGGGGCTCCGGGTCGTGAGCTGCGCCTTCTCCTCCCCGGGGAGCGCGGCGTGCGCCGGGCCGTGGCGGCGGCAGCGCAGCGTGGGTACTGCCGGGCCCTGCCCTGCCCCGCTCTGGGGACGGGTCAGGCCGGGTGCGGCCGCTCGCCCTGCCGGCCTTCCCAGCCTGCCCGCCGGGTGTCCGGGCAGCGCAGGCCCTGCCTGCCTCCTGCAGGGAATGGTGGCACAGCCAAGGGGGGAACAGGGGTGCTGGTGTTCTCCCTTCCATCCTCAGACTTGTTCATGTGCTGTCGCTTTCTGCCCGAGTTTCGTGCCGTTCGTGCTCGTCCCATCTGCGGTTGTTTCCCCTGCAGGTTCTTACAATGGCTGAGGATTTGATAGCAGCGGTTGCCAGCCAGACAAAGAGACTCAACAGCAGCAGCGAAGTGGTTCAAAGGCTGGAAGAAAACGGGCATCAGAACAAAAAGTTGAAGAGCGATGCGGATGAGGAAGATGCAGAGGATCAGAATAAGAAGTTACCCAAAAGGAAGATTGTGCTGTTGATGGCATATTCAGGGAAAGGCTACCATGGCATGCAAGTATGTGGTTTGGCAAAGCAGCATCTCCAGCTTATTTTTTGTTTTGGAGTCTCTGTTAGGTTTAGTCAGAGTGCCTGGATAGGGAAACAGTTGAGCATTTGCAGTGTGAAAAACCAGGGCAGGAACAGTGTGTGAATGGCTTCAAATGGCTGGGTAATAATTTAATTTTAGAAGACCAGTGATACATCTCTGATGATTGTAGGGACAGTGCTTTGTCACAGCACCAGACGTGCCTGTGCAGGGTGGTCTGAGGCACAGAGCTGGCAGCGAGAGGGTGATCCTGCTCCATCTGCTGCTCCTCTCCACGTACTGCAAGCTCCATACACTTAAAGAATACTTCAGAGGCTCCACCTGATGCCTGACAATCTTGCACACAGACAGGGAAGGGAGCCTTTCATGCTTATACAACAAAGGAGATTTTTTTCACCAGTAAACCTCATGCTTACAGGCACATCAGGTGAACTGAGCAAAAGAACCCAATCTAATTTCTAAAAGAAAAATAGGTAGAGGCTGGGTTTGCAGCAGCAGCTGTTGACTTGCTGGCACTGGGACAGTATTGGTGCTGTTTCATGCAGTTGAAGGAATCATCAAGAACTTCCAGAAGTGTTGCACAGTGAAATTAGAAATGAGTCCTTGTTTGTAACAGTAACAGCTAAATCAGAATGATGTTTTATTAACACTCTGGTAAAATACAGTTAGGTTTGTAAAAGAATGGCTCCTAAGTCTGCAAAGGGAAGACTTTTAAGGAATGTCACAACAATGTTTGACGAATGAAATTTCCATCTTCATTTATCCAATTATTGTTCTGTTTCTTATTTTTACTGCATACGGCCTGTTAGAGAAACGTGGGATCTTCACAGTTCAAGACAATTGAAGATGACCTGGTCTCTGCCCTTGTTCAGTCAGGGTGCATCCCAGAGAACCACGGGCAGGATATGAAGAAGATGTCTTTCCAGCGCTGTGCTCGAACAGATAAGGTATGGCAGGGCTGTGCTCTCCTGAGCTCTGGGGTTTGCACACCTCTGCTGCTGGGATGGACTGCTGAAGCATTGTCCAGAGGGAGATCCAGCAGCAAGTGAATGTTCCTTGAAACTTCTCCTTTTGTCCTCTGTTAAATTAAAGTACAAGCAAATAAACTTGTTATTCAGTTATTTCAATTCTGCAAGTCTTGTCCTAGAGCTTCCAAAGTACGTCATTATGTGGGGTTTTGTGGGTTTTGTTTTTTACAGGGTGTGTCTGCAGCTGGACAGATTGTGTCACTGAAGGTCAGGCTAATAGATGACATCTTAGAAAAGATCAATAATCATCTTCCTTCTCACATCAGAATTCTGGGTAAGAACACTGAAATGGGCAGAGAAAATGTTTTCAAGAAAAGCTTTCTCCTGCAGAAGATCTCTATAATTTTACTCATAAAGGGTTTAATTTTAACACGCTTCTATTCGCTTGAAATTGGGGTTCTTTTGAACAAATCTGCTTTTTGCTTATATTTTGCTTGAAAAATATTCGTGTTGGTAGGAGTGAGATCACAATCAATCTCTACCCTCTTGTTTCAAAAACCTAATGTCACTTTTAAATCCAGGCCTGAAGAGAGTCACTGGGGGATTCAACTCCAAGAACAAATGTGATGCCAGAACCTACTCCTACATGCTGCCCACGTTTGCCTTTGCCCATAAGGACCATGAAGGGCAGGAGGAGCTTTATAGGCTGGACAGAGACACCCTTGAAAGGGTCAATCAGCTGCTGGCCTGCTACAAAGGGACACACAACTTCCACAACTTCACATCCCAGAAGGGCCCCAGGGACCCCAGTGCCAAGAGGTACATCATGGAGATGTACTGTGGAGAGCCCTTCGTCAGGGAAAACATGGAATTTGCAGTGATCCAAGTGAAGGGTCAGAGTTTCATGATGCACCAGATCAGGAAGATGATTGGGCTGGTGATAGCAATTGTGAAGGGTTATGCTGCTGAGTCCATCATGGAGCGCAGCTGGGGAGAGGAGAAGGTTGATGTCCCCAAAGCCCCAGGACTTGGGCTGGTTTTGGAGAAAGTACACTTTGAAAAATACAACAGGCGTTTTGGGAATGATGGGCTGCATGAGCCACTGGAGTGGACAGAGGAGGAGGAGAAAATTGCTGTTTTCAAAGAGCAGTACATCTATCCTACCATTATCAACACGGAAAGGGAGGAGAAATCCATGGCAAACTGGCTAAAAACCCTCCCCATTCATGACTTCAACTCCTCTACTGTTGAGATGCAAACTAACAACAAAACTGCAAAGGTAATGACTGAAGCCATTATTTTACAAATGGAAGCTGTCAAGTTGAAACATCTCTTCCCTTTGAACCGTTTCTGTTTTCCATGCAATGCCGTGGAAATGACAGTCATCTGGAGTATGAAATGTGTATAATCTTTTCTGTCTTTGTGCACTTGATGATAGTGGAATGAACTGTACAAAGCATTGTTTTTGCAGGGTTTTACAGGTAGTAGTTGAGGAGGGAGGAAGGAAAGCTTTAAGCACAAGCAATTTGCATAATCATAAACTGGCAACAGAAATTTTGGACACATTGTCAGCCTTTGCTGTTGTGAAAGTGTTTGGGAATCTAGGTTTCAGGTTGACAATTTTGCTTTAAATACCTGCTGGCTTTTTGTAGTCTCTGATTTTGGGCTAATTCTCATTTTGTTACCAGATAAGGTTTGGGATCAGGGAAATTTAGGGCCAGCTTTTTTAAATTAATCTGCCATGAGCTCAAAATAGGTCATCAGAACAACTTCTGAGTAACTGGGATATTGTGGAATTGGATTTGTGCCAACAGGAACTCCTGTGAGCAATGAAGTGCAATACAGCAAAGGAGTAGAATACATTTTTGCCAAAAAGGAAATTTCAGTTAAAGGCTGGCAAGTCCTTGAAGGATGAATGATGGGCAGGGCTAAAATTCCTGTGTAGTGCAACACAGAAGAAAATAATGGCCTTTTTTCATTTAACAGAATCCTTAAAATTAGCTTTATTTTGTCTAGCAAATGGAGAATGTTGGAGATGGAGAAATGGAGAAAAATTATGTTTCTGCTATTTTATGCTTGAGTTCAAGAAAGAGTTTCATTGCATGATACAAAATTTACAGCCTTGTTGAATAGCACAAGCATAAGTTTCTCAGGGTTATTTTTGTACTTTTGGTAGTTTTATTCTGAATTCTGGGTATGTGAGAGGGGTGTTTGTGACAGGAGGGCACAGCAAAAGCCACGTTGGTTTGTTTAAATGGGACCCAAAGAGACCATGTGGCTCAGAGTCCTTTAGCTGGTGGTGTTGGCAGGACCTGGTGCTGCCAGGTTCCCAATCCCTGCTGTATTCCTGGAAGCAGGCAGGTTCTGCTCCCTGCAGATAGACCCAACCAAGTTTGGGTTTGGCATCACAGTTAGCACAAGCTGTCTGGGAAGGATAAATAAGGCATGATATGACAGACTCTGCTGAGATTTTGCAGGCTGTTTGCACTTCAGTGAGCTGTGCTTGCTGGTATGAAGTCAACTGTGTGAGTGCCTTGGAATTTGTTTTGTAGTAGGATATTAAATGGCCAGTGTTAAATTTGTGGGATTCAGTGTTTTCAGCAAGTGATGGTGAGGGGAAAAAAAAGGATAACTGCAGACATATACATACTACAGATACATAGAACTATAGATATATACTATGCTAGTTTCTCTTTATAAAAATACTTTTATGTCAGTCATATCAATTAAAATACTTGCTTCAAAAAAATGCATAAACCCCCCAAATTAATTGCACCATATTGCCTTACTCCTGAAGGAGTGGCTCCCAGAGAGGAGCTCTGACTTCAGTCTCCGTGTAAGTTTCTAACATTTGTAGTCTTTCCTTAGTACTACTTTGTGCAAGTGACTTCACTTTTAAACAAGTATCAGTGAGCCCTGGCTTATCTGCAATACAAGTTGGACATAAATTCTCTGCAGCAGACAAAATTCTTGAATCTGGCTTTGGACAATGTACCAAGCTTAGCATAAAAAAGCACTTTAACTGTTCTCACCTGCATTCATTTTAAATGTCAGCATTTCATGTTACCATCCCACTTTCAAATTTCCCACATACTGCAGGTTGTAATTAAGGAGTTTTAAATGTTGTAAAAAGAAGAAATTTCCTCTCTGGTAATTGTAATCCCAAGTATGTTTTTTGTTATAAGAAACATCTGTACCATCAGAGGTGTTTATTACCGTAGGTGTGTCTAACCCATGAAGTTGGGACCTAGGAGTATTTTCTTAGACTTGTGGAGAAGTTTGAAGTCAGTGTCTGTGATTCAGGTCAGCGTGGGGATGTGAATGCAGCCCTGACAAGCATTTTGTGTTTTGCTTTGCAGAAGAGCAGCGACCTCGAAGGCAGCGACGGCTGTGGCGATGATTCCGACTGAGCCGGCAGGTGGCTGGACATGGGACGCTCGCTGCTTGCAGTTCCCTTTGTCTACAAAAAAGTGGCCTTTCCATATCCAAGAATCCAGTGAAACAGGAGTTGGTGTGCTTGCAGAATGAGAACTGGGTGCCCAGGAGAAACTGGGTGGGGAAGACAGCGCAGTAGAAAAACCAGAAGTTTTTTATACCACTGACTGAGTCACCTGACTGATATACTTGAAAACAGTGTAGTGGGAAAGCAGCTTTCTAAAAAAAAATCTTGAAATGCAGGATATCTTAACTGCTATTTGAATAATGTTTTTATTATGTTTACCTGGAAAATAGTATTTTAAATATGTATAATCTCTACATAAAGATGGGGCGAATCATTTTAATATACTCTTTTTTACTATGAAGTTATGACTTCATGAGCTTATGATTTTTTAAAAATAATTTACCTTTACTCAAACTGAATCTCTAAGCTCTTATTTTTCATGTCATCCGTGGTTTTCCTATGGAATAACATGTATGACCCTGAGATTAACTCAGTTACGGTGTGGTGCTAAAAATGCCAGGGTTGTGGAGTCAATCCCTTTATGGCCATTCACTTAAGAGTTGGACTTGGTGATCCTTGTGGGTCCCTTCCAACTCAGAATATTCTGTGATTTACAAACTATGGGTTAGAAACTCATCATGCTGACTGCTGTGAGCTCTTTTGGTTTTGAAACAAATTTCTGTGTTTTCTAGAGCTTCGCAGGTCTAAAAGAAATTATTCCTTTCTCAGTGAGAGGGCTTCAGTTTGGAACATGACCTGAGCCATGCATTCCAAGATGAGACCTTTCCTGTGGGAGGTGCCATCCTCCCAGCATTGCCCTCGTGCTTGGGCAAGTTCAAGGGTATAAAAACACAGCTCCAGGTGTAGTTGGGCCTTTGCTGGCTGAGATGTAACCCCAAAATCCTCTTGAGCCATCTGCAGGATCCAGAGTTGAATTGACTTGGCATGTGGGAAAGAAATGGTGCTGAATTCTCTGGGCTTTAATCAGGGTTTGTGAACTCTTCAATCCCATCAAGCTCCTCAGAGCAGGGAATGTCTGCAGTGATATGGGAGGCACATGTCTGAGCATTGCCATCCGCTGGGAATCAGTTTCAGTTTTCTGTGTTTTCAGGAATTGCATACTCTGGAGTTCATGCTCCTTTTCCCCATCAGTGATTTAACTTCTGGTTCTTGTTTCCAGCTCTCTGTGGAGGTGGCAGAAGAAATGACACCCTCCTGCCTTACCAGCCTGCAGAACACCATTGAAGGGTTAGAACAAGACTCCAGGAATTTGGGTATTAGTACAAGTGCTTGATACACTTCCCTTGCTGAGTCTCTGTGGAGACTTGCTTTTTAATATGGGACTACTGAAAATGAGGAGTCAGCTCTTTGTTCCCACATTTAGTGGTGTTTTGCCAAAGCCTTTAATTTTATGGTTCCTTCTGGAATGATTCTTTTGGTTTTGCAGGGTGTTTTTTTGGGGTTAGTGGAGATTTTGGGGGATTTTTTGGGGCACAACTTCCTTTAACAAAGGATTCCCATGTTCATTTTATCTGGGTTTTCTTTACAGCTTTTTATTTTATTGTGAAGGCCTTGCTCGATTTTATGAAAGCAAATGTGTAGAAGTGCCCTGGAGAGGGTTTTTGCCTGGATTTTCATTTACATCCCTTGCTGGTGCATACTATCGACCTACTGTGCTTTATCTTCGATCCAAAGCTCCGTTTCTCCACGCCTTTCAATCTGAAAAAAACCCTACCTTTATCCACTTATAATAAAAGCCCCAAAGCTGTGATATGTACCACAGTTGAAATCAAAGAGAAACTCTATTTGAAGAGAGAAAAAACTGTGAATAACAAGGAAAATAATAAATACTTAAGGTTCGCGGCTTCCCCTCTGTGCGGGTGGGAGCGCCTGGATCCCCCCCGCGGTGGGAGGCGGATGGTATCGCCGCGCGGGGCGGGGCCAGGGGCGGCCGTGAGGGGGCGCTGCGGGAGAGCGCGGCGGGCCCGGGGCGTGAGGGGAGCGCGGGGCGGGCCAGGTTGTGCGGGGCGGTGTGGGATGTCACAGGGGTGTGCGGAGCGGCTCAGGCTGTGCGGGAGCGGTGCGGGGTGTGGGGGATGCAACGAGGTGTGAGATGTCGCAGGGGTGTACGGGGATGGCGTGCGGAGCGGCTCCGGCCGTGCGGGATGTCACAGGGATAATGGGGGTAGTACCCGGCGTCTGGAGCGGCTCAGGCTGTGCGGGATGTCACAGGCTGTGCGGGGGTAGTACCCGGCGTGCGGAGTGGCTCAGGCTGTGCGGGATGTCACAGGGATAATGGGGGTAGTACCCGGCGTCTGGAGCGGCTCAGGCTGTGCGGGATGTCACAGGCTGTGCGGGGGTGGCGCAGGGCAGTGCGGGGACAGGGGACAGCGGTCGCTGGCGGGAGGTTCGTGCCGGTGCGGGGAACGGGGCACGCAGCGATGTGAGGGGCCAGGGCGCTGCCGAGCCCCGTGCTGGCGGCTGCTCTGTTCCGCGGCAGCGCCGACACCCCGCGCTGGAATGCCCTTTGCAGCGCGGGCCGTCCGCCCGCTGCTCTGTGGCACTGCCGGGAGTGACACCAGGCAGCTCCCTCCTGTCACAGCCCCCGTCACCTCCCGTGCGTGTGACAGCACCGGCCTCTCTCCGCGACTGCCGCACGTGGGTCCCTGGGCTGGGGACAGCCGAAAGCTTGGCCATCCTGCATCTTCTTCGAAGTACAGACATACCCAGTCCAGACTCAGAATGAGCTGCAGCAACTGGATAAATCTATTGGGACCATAAAGAATTCAAGTGGTTAATTTGGGTTAAAAGGTCAGTGACTGTTGAGATCAACTCCCTTTACAGTTGTGCAGGAAGCAATTCTGCAACCATAAACCCCATTTTGTAGCAAAATGGAGTGAATGTAAAATTTAAATCAAGATATAAGAGTGGGTAGAGCTTTGGAACTGGTAGTCCAATGCACCATTTTATTGATAATGAGATACTTTATTAGGTTAAACTTCATTTCAGTTCCCAAATTATTACTTCACAGAGAGACTCATAATTAATTCTGACAGCAATTAAAAAAAAGTCATGAACTTTAAAATAACGCTGTTACATCTAGTGCTTATATTAATGATTTAAGATTAAGTGTAAGTTTTAAGCTTTGTAATTAAAGATAACTGCTTTAATGAGATTTTGTGTAATTGTAACATTATATCTAATACCAATTGTTACACATTTAAAAAAACTCTCTGGAGAAAATCTTAGAGATCCTAGTAAGTGCTGCACATCTCATTTTCCATACATTGGGTTTAAATTTGTACCCTCTGAGCCCAATTTGTTGCTTTCCTTAATTAATGTTGTTGCATGAAAATTTTCCCTTTTGGTCATTTGATACCCTGATAGAGATTGGTTGTGGAGTTGTCAGTTCTCTGCAGGGTGTTGTTAGCAAAGATCCTGTCAGGTTCAGGAGTGGATAAGTGCATCCTAGACTGACTTGCTGATTGAGTCACACCTCAGAGCTCCCAGGCAGGCAGGTTTGTTGGGGTGTGGTGGAAGCTGATTTCAGCAGCTTTGTAACAGGCTGTATGGCCACTTTCTTCGGTTCTCTTTGTCATTTCCCCATTTTCTTTACTGGAATTGCAATTTTTAACACTCTCTCTGCAGGTGGAATGCCTCCTGTCCCTCAAGTGGCTCAGCAGATCAGCCAGGAGGAAAACCACCAGCAAAATGGACCAAATTTGTCAAGTTTGCTTCATTCCTTACCTGCTGCACACAGCAGGAACCCAGCTCTGCCCCAGCAGGTACAACCAGCAGGATGGGATAAGAACCATGTGCTTGTGGTCCCAGCTCCAGTTCCCTCACAGCAACAGGTATATTTGTATATTATACAACATTTATATTATACAACATTTGTATATTGTCTTGTATGGGGAGTGTTGACCTTTGTGTTTTGTGTGGAGACTTTGTGGATGGCAGAATTTATCACTCCAGCCTGGGGAGAAAGGAGCAAATATCTTTGTAGGTGACTTTGCCAAGCCTGATAATGTGTTTCAGACAGCTGTGGAATAGCTCAGCTGGGTATGGATCTGTACAAAAAGATTTTGTATTCATTTAAATTTGGAATGCTCTGTGGATACCTGTGCCTCTCATTTGGTTTTAATTAGTGCTGCAGATATACATGATTTTTCTTGAAGAAAGGAAAGGGGTGAGAAGGAATCAGACACGTTCTCTAGGGAAGTAGCATTTGTTCCTGTAATGAAGCCCTAGAAGGAGATTTAATTAAACAAAATCCATTATTTTTATGCCTCATTTTAAAATAAGGGGGGAGGGGGGATGACAATAAAAATTTGTGCTGCTTGTGCTGACTTGCCAGCAGTTGCAGGATGCTTACATGTGTTAATAAAAATGCCAGAAGCTAAATGTGTTTTTGTACTAACTTTTTAGAGAATTTTGTCCACCTGCCATCTGGCAGAGTATTTAAATGCTGTGAAATTTCTCACTAAATCAGCCAGCACTTCTGATGAGATCTAGGAGTATTGTATTTTAGGAGGAAAACCAAAAGTTCTCAAGACTGAGTAGCTCTGCATCCCAAGATTCTCTACTGATTTCTCATATAACTTCTGCCTCACAAAGTCACTTCAGAAACTTTACAAAAAGCTGCACAAAATGCATTATTCACTATCTTTTAATAAAGCGCAGCTTCAAACACCATGGAATGTTTCCAAGGACTGAATAATTGTTTCTATTGATTATCCATGTAACATTTTACATTTTTTTCACAGTATCTGTCTTGGTTTTCTGTTGTGCAGTAGGAAACATAAGTTTAATTATGTTTACTTGAAGGAAAATGAAATTCTACAGCGAATAGCAGCACTGAGGAAAGTTTATGATCTCTGAAACCTCTGCCCAAACTCCATCAGGCCCCACAGCACAAATCATACCATGATTTAACTTTTGGAAGAAATGCAGTGGATGGCAACAGATTTTTTTCAAGAAAGAGGATGAAAGATGGTAACTGCCAAGAGAGTAATGTGAATTTGATATTTTAAACCAGAAAAGAATAGGCAGGATTTACATGGTTAGGATGTGATCACTGAGGATCTGGGAGTTTGGGGCTGCCTCTTCACTATTTGTAAACTTTAAACAGTACTCCTAAAGGGGTTGTAAATATTTTCTTTCTCTAGAAATGTGCTTTTTAGCTAGAAATGTGTAAAAAAATTAAAATAATTGTATGGTTTTATTTTAGGGTTAATGTGTCAAGGTGGGAATAGATGGATCTGGAATGCCAGTTCTACAAAGGCAAATGTTTTAATTACGAGCAGTGAATTAACTGCAGAGCTTGTCATTTGAGGGTGCTGCCCTGTTTGTGACTCCTGGTAACATGAGCACAATGCTCTATTTCCATGGTGTGGGCTCTTGGAACCTTTTAAAGTAACAGCAGCTGCTCTCTGCAGCGTCACATGACACGTGGCTCTTCCAGCTCCACTTCAATCCTGCCATCAGCTGGGAGCTTTTTCATCTTTCTCAGATACTGTGCTATTATTACTATTATTTTTTTTTTAACTGCAGCAGAATAGTAGTAAAATATTTCTTTACTTTTTGGGTTTTCTTTTCTTTTACTGTAACTTAAGCACACAGACTGGTCTCTATTTGATGTGATTGGGATGGAAAACCAAATTTCTTGTTATGAAGCACAAATGCTGCCAAAACTGAAGGTAACTGGAAAGCTTATTGAAGAGATCTGCTCCCCTTCATCACCCAGACCTGAGCCAGTAAAGCTCCAACCAAACAGGTATGTAGTGTTCAAATGATTCATTTATTTTTTTACTGATTTTTTTTTAAAGTAACAGATGTAAACCAGTAATATTTGTGAGGGCTGAGAGGGTTCATTCACAATTATTTGTTTATTTTTTTATCATTTTTTTCCAAACTGATCACTGCTAAAGACTTTATGCCTTTAAAGTCTTCTCCCTCAGTCTTCTGAGGGAAAGCAAAGTGCTTCTTACTGTTTAATAGTTCTTTTCATTTATGAAAGCTCAGTTTTGATCTTTCTGGCCACACTCAAGAGTTGAAGTCACTTGTGGTTTTGATCAAACACTGAAAATTACTTCTGAAGTAGAGTTTCCTAAGCAGAATAATTACATCTTCTCCTGCTAGTTAATTTTCAGATGTGCTTACAAAACACTTAAAGATTTTTTGGGGGGGAGGGAAGGACAGAGGGAGAAAAAAAAATGCTTGGTTAAATTTTGAGCTTATTTGATTTTTGCTCCTGATTCTTCCCTCAGAAGAGAAGTTAGGAGGGTTTGGTTTTGAGTCTTGGAGCAAATGTAATTCTGCTGTAGAGCAATGTGGAGTTAAATCTTACAACAAATTAGCCTGATATGAGAAGAGTGTGGTCAGTGAAGCCCAAGACAGCTTGTGTGACATGTGACTGTGACAGGTGACAAGGAGGATGTCCCTTGTGTTCTTAGGCTGTTCTGCCAGAAGAGAGCATTGGCAGTTAATGAAGTTAAGGACTTGGAAGTGATAGCTGAAGTATATATGTAAAACAGAAGAAGAACTCATGCTTTTTCTGTTCAGTCATCTTTGGTTTCCTGGAAATAGCATACACAAAACAGTTACTGTGAACTCAGCTCTTACAATTGCAGTGTTTTTGAAACTATACCCGTGGTTAAAGCTTTGCTCCATTAAGAAGTTTGACCCTAATTAGCATCTTCTGGGGAGTTCTCTTGCTGTCTCCAGACCCCAAAGATGACTAAGGGATATGGGAGTTCTGTTATTCCCCTTCCATGTAATCCTTCAGAGAGGACTGGAGCATCAGACATTTGGTGTACTTGAATTTTACAGTATAGTGTTTTTCTTCTGTGTGTTGGGAGAAGCAGAATCTCTCCTGCCATATGCTCTTCAGCTGGGTACCTCTTTCAGCTCAGATTACTGACTAAAAATAATATTTTTGCCAGTAGGCATAAAGTAGAAAAGCAGATTTATTTTTCATTGCAATACCAAAGCTAACATTTGTCCTTGTGTCACAAGTGTCAGCTTTTCTCCTGCTCTCTTCTCCATTCATAGAACTCTTGCATGAGCTATATTGTCCTTTTTTTTAAGTTTGTTTTTTGCATAAGCTTCATCTGGTTACAATAGATTCAGAGAAGAATTTTGAATTTAAAGGGTATTCCAGAAGAAAGAGACAACTGAAGGAACACCTGGACAAAATATTCTTCTGGAATGAGTGTCATATTTCCAGAACCCCCTGTATGGCAGAGACCTGTTGGAAACATGCTCTGGGATCAGTGAAAGAAAAATCTCTCAGCATTGTTCTGCCAGGATTAACAAATGGTGCTGGGCTGGCTTTGCAAATTGCCTTCCATACTCCAGCACTTCAGAGGCTCTAAGGATCCATTGCAGGAACTTTTTCTGACACTGAAACAGCAGCAGATTGCCCTGAAGGATGTTATTTCCAGGTAATTGAGACAAATCATGTTCAGTTCTTTGCACAGATTTGATGAGTGTGTGCTACCCTCCAAAACAGGGTATTTATGTGAACAACTGTAAAATGCTGAATGATAAATAGGCTGCCTTGTTTTATCCTTTTTGCAGACTACATTCCTCTATGTTGAACCTATTTGCATCTCAGATGTATAATTTTGGATCATTCTAGGACCTGAAACTCTCAGTAGTTCCATGGCAACTGTTATTAGTTATATAACAATTCTACTTTATTTTGACATATCTTGTATTTGTTGTGTTAATGCTGACAAAAAAAAAAAAAAAAAAAAGAAGTAGGAGCAGTAGTAAGCTTCTCTTGGTAACTTTATGGATAGTGGTAATTTCCTCTTCATGGTTTTTGTTTTTTTCACTTAATTGATGTCAACTTAAAACTACATGTCCTGATTTGCTTTCTATTACCTTTAGCCAGGTGCTTTGTACATCTTTGCAAATATTACTGGGTTTGAGTAATTAATAGCCCATGCAGTTAAAAATCAGTATAATAAAGTTTTGATTTGTTTTATAGAGACCTGTGTGTGTTCCCAGCTGTATTTGTTGCTCCTCCATATTTGTATGGAGAAAATCCTTCCTACACATGGAGCCATGGAATGAAAGTCCTGCAGCTGAGTCTCGAGGAGCAGAGATGGTGCAGCGTGATTCAGGTATTAAACACCCACCATGGGTCACACCTCTGTGCAGGGGCTGTCTCTAATTGTGAGTGTCACCTGCAGAACCCTCAGTTCTCATTCATAACCAGGCAAGCTGGGGGCTCTGGTTGTTCTGCTTTGGCAGCTGAAAGCAGAAGGGACAGCAGGTGCTGATTTTGACACAGATTATTGCAATGCTGAGCATTCCTGGAGCTTTTCCTGAATTTCCATTTCCTCACGTGAGTGAGAGTTAGTGAGAGTGGTGCTCACAGCTGGCATTATCTGGTAAGAGGATCTCTTCCTCAAGCTCATAGTGAGTAGATGCTCATGGTGGGGAGGGAAAATGCTAAAGGGAAGTCTAAGACATTTGCAAGATTCATTTACATAATGTCCTTACTTATTAAAGCAAATGATGTACATAGCTGTAGCTCAGATATGTAATTATATATGAAATATGTCTGTCATGTTACTATTTGATGAGGCATTTAGGGTGTTTCCAAGGAGTATGCCACTACTTATCCTATGTTTATGAGCAATTTGTGCTTCAAATGCAGATTTTTTTTTCACAATAGCCATTTGATTAATTTGCTTTTGCTTTCATTATCTGTAGCTATTTACATTGTTAGTACTTTAAGTGTAGTTGGCGTTTTTATGTTGGCAGTTCCTCAGCCTTACTCCAGGGGCTTTTATTTTTCGTGGAGTGCCCTGGCATTGCCTGAGGATAAATTGAAAGTATGCTCCTTTCCCTCCCCAGTAAGATTCTCTGTATCCTCTGGGGCCTACAATTTGAGCAAACATTAACAATATATTGAAGTTTTTCTTATTTTTTTATTCCAAATTACATCATTATGTTTTCTGTTAGATGCGGTATAAAACATAAAAGAATGGTTTGCCTTAAAGCAACACACGGCAGCACAACAGAAGGGATTTGATTTAGTCAATAGAGAAGAAAAATGATGGAGCATGTACAGGAATAACAACTCAGTCAGGTGTGCTTAGTCACAGGACATGATGTGATTACTTGTAATAGATCTTTAGATTTTATATGGCTGACTGCATCATAAATTAATAGCTTTAATGGTAGACAGATTAATTATGAACTGTGTAAATCTATAATGTGGGCAGTCAGATAACTTGAAATGTTTGCACATTTAATGTAGGTAGGGGAAGTAATAAGAAAGCAATTTTTCCAATCTTCTGACTCTGTTAAAAAAAGTTTGTTTAGAGATTTATCCTATATTAATGTCAATTTGTAATTTAGTTGCTTGTTTCCCCATTTTAGGAATTCATAAAAAGCTTCAACCAAGACAAGTGATCCTTCTGTGCTATCCTGTCTTCCCACACTCCCTCCACAGGTGTCAGTCACACAGATGTGATTCCTGTTGTCTTCTATGACACTGATGGACACATAGATGGGCGTGACAAAAGTGCAAGAGGCAGAGATACCCACACATACAGGTGAATTTCATGCTAAGAAATCAATGTTTTAAAATCAAAAGTAGAGAGAAGATAATCTGGGGAGAAACTAGCATTTTTGGTTGAGGTCACCCTTGTAGTTTAAGTAACTTGATCTTTCAAGATGCCTTCAAAGATTATATCATACCTCTTCCCTTCAAACTAGGGGGAAAATGAAAATCATGTCCTTCCCACACTGCTGCTTCTGTTCCTGTCTTTCCCTCCCACTTTCATCTAACAAACCATCTGGACTTCTGTGTTGGGACAGCCAAAATAAATGTGGGTGTTTTCAGCCCTTGACAAACAAATGCCATTCTTGATTATCACGGAGTTTCAGATCCAGTGATGAGATGCTGGTTTTGCACTTCTGAGATGTATTTGAAAGCTTCTCTCAAGTGACTGTTTCTTGTCTTGGAAGGATGTGCTGAGAGCACAGGGAATGTAATGGGTTTCTTTGTTTTACAGGCTTGTAAGTGGTAATTCTATGAAGAGAGGCTGTTGAAAAAGAGTATTAAACATGATTCAAGAACTGGCTGCTCAGGGAAGGGATTGCTCAACAGACTTTTTATCTCAGGTACTGTAACATTAAAAATGTGAGCAGTCATTTAATGATACATAAAAAATAAGTGTTTTACTAGATCTGAGACAGAATTTTGAAAAGGTAGTGGTTTATTTATTTCTAGGCTTGTTTGGGAACCAGTGATATGTGTTCACAGTTAAATTGAGTAGAAATCCTGAACTGTCAGCACATATAGAAAATCAGAAGGTAACAATATCTAATAAATATTGGTAATATCGATATTGATAAATTGTAATAAAGATTGGCCTGTTCCAATGATAATGTTACCCTTTTATTGACATTGTTTTAATCAATCAAAAGCAACATCTGCAGCAAAAGGTGTCAAATACATCTGTAATCTGACTTTTCTAAACTTGATTTTAGGATGACTTAAAAGTTTTTGCATTTTTTCTTAAGAGGTCTTGGATCCTATCAGTGATGTGGTTAACTCTTGTAACAATGTTCATCACTCCCCAAAGCAATGCCAAAATTGGTACATAATAACCATTAGAAGTCCAGAGGGGAAGGAGAGTTTAAGTTGAACCTTGCTTTGCATTGTGAGGACTTGGGGGCTTCTGGGGTCTTTTTTGTTGGGTTTTTTTTTTAATTCCTCATTGTTATTAAAGTACTACAAGAGTGTTTACTGAGCAGAAACATAACTAGATTTTAGAATTTTGAATAGCTTGGTACACAAGCAAATGTTAGTAAATACTCCTAACAGTATAACTAATATAGGTTATATTTATTATATTTCCATACACTTAGGAATATGAATTCCCCCAATGTTATTACAATATGACCTTGGATGTATAATTTGTTAAAAATAAGAGAGGGGAGCTATTTAACTTTTAAGTGGTAGGATATGAATTGTCTCCAGTCAAGACTATTGGTAACTATGAATTTTGAGACAGGACACTTTTGATTATGTATTTTTGGTACCTAAGCTTTCACTTTGTATTTATTGCAGAATGTAGGTGGTCATCCTCCTTGTGTTAGACAAACCTGTGCTAACGACCAGAATTCTGAGTGCATTCAAATCTGTATAAATCACTTTGAGTTGATGACAATGTGTACTAGAAACAGAAGTTCCTCATATAGATTTCTCTAAGTTCTCCTGTCAATATTTTTCTCAGATTTAACAGTAAATCACTGGTGGTCTGATTGGTGAATTTGTTTTCTCTTAAGCACGAACGTATTTCACGGGGATCTTTTTCTTATCAAAGGCTCTGTGATGATCTTTAGCCTTAAGTAGTGTTTACTGTCCAAGAATCAAATCTGTGCTCGTGCTGATGTAAAGAAAAGCCTGAAGTGCTTCAGTACAGCTCCATCCGATGTAGCACAAGTCCTTCCTCATGTCCGGTGGACCCTCCTGAGCATCAGTGAGCGCCCTTTGTCTCCTGTCCTGCAACCCGGCACCCCCGAGCAGAGCCGGCCGTGCTCCGAGCTCCCTGACAGACGGGGATGGGGTCCCCTCTCAGCTCCAGGCTGAACAGCGCCGGCTGCTCAGCCTTTTCCCGTCGGAGATGCTCCAGCCCTCCATCCCCGCTGTTCCCCGGCTGGCCCCGCTCCAGGCGCTCCCGGTCTCTCCTGCCCTGGGCCGTGCAAGCCCCGCCAGCTGCCAGTGTGGATTCTCACTCCGTGTCTTGAAGAGTAGCGACAGCCCCGCTCCGTGCGCGGACAGAAACTACCCATTGCTCGGTGCTTGCGCTGCCCTGCCTCTGCTAAATAAATATCATTTTCCTGCGCTGTCGCCGAGCCCGTTCCTATCGCGACAGGACCCGCGGGCCGCCTCCGCGGAGCGCGCAGGCGCGGCGCTGGCGCAGGCGCGGCGCGGCCCGCGGGTGCCGGCGCAGGCGCGGCGGGACGCGGTTTGTCTCCTGCCGGCGCTGGTAGCGGCGCCCCCGCCCGCGCTTCCTGCCCGCAGCGAATGGAACCCGCGGCGCCCGCGGTAAGTGCGGCCCGCGGGGCCCGCCCGGGCCCGGCTGCGCGCCCCGCTCCGCCCCGAACGGCCCCCGGCAGCCCCGCCGCCGCAGCGGGACAGTCGAGACCTGCCGGGATGAGCCCGGTGCGGGAGGGGCGGAACGCGGCCGGAGGAGCCGCTGTGCCGGCTGCGCTCCGCGGTACCCCCGGCACGGGAGGTCCCGCGCTCTCGGCCCCCTGTCGCTGCTGGCACGTGTGTGACAGCGCTGCTTTGCTCCATCTTCCCGGACAGCCGCCTCTTTCCCGGGGCAAGGAAGAGAATCCCCATCCGCAGGGCGTGGGCAGGTGGCTGCAGACAGCGCAGGACGGGGCAGCGGAGGGCTGTGGTGTGCTCCCTGCCTGGGCAGCGGAGGAGCGGGAGAGCCGGCAGCGCCCGCTGCATCCCGCCGCTTCCAGCGGTGCTGCCGTGCCGGTGTGCTGCTGCCTGTTGCCGCCTGCGACCAACTTGGAGTTAGGAACACAAAGGAGTAGCAGCATGTTTCTGTATGTTTGGCCTGAAATGCTAAAAGTGAAAGTGTTGCTTTCAAAAGAGGGGAGAGATTTTGAAAGGATAAAAAAAAAAAAACTCATCAGGTTTCATTTTCTCTTGCTGCTATTTCTGTGTGACTCCCAGCCCTGAATCTACCTGCCAGTGCATGTCATTGGAATTTTTGTTTGTCTGTAATTGAAATACAAAACCAGAACGTTTTGGGATTTCTGGGTAGCTAGACTCAATAAACAGCATTTTAAATTAAATGCAGTTTTGGTTAATTTTTGTCTCTTTGTGTTCTGAAGGAAAGAGCAGGCAGAGTTAAGGATTGAGTACAGTAGTTTTGTTTACATTAAGATGACTTGGCCTTCAGTAGCTAGAACAATCAAGTTGAATAGTCTGTCCATTTTCTTATTTTTAGTTGCTGTTGAAACAATGGACTATACATTTTAGCAATTACATTTACAATAACTTTGCATTAAGAGTTAAAAGCTCTGAAACATTGGTAATAATGAACACGACAAAGAGTAGATGCCTTTGATGCTGGAGACCGTTGTTTCTTGAAGTTCCACATCAAGGGAAAAAGTCCTGTTCACTCTTTTTTTTATTATTTGAAGTCATTCTGCCTAGCTAAGGGGAACACAACATTTGTAAGACTATTCAATAGCAGTATTAGCTAGAGAAATTTATGAGGGATCTAAGTGAGATTTGGTTGTGCTGAGGGTTTGGAATCATTTGAAACATTTTAAGTAGCTGCAAAGCCAGGATAACAGTTCTTACTATAAGGTAATCTTTCTAGTTGTAGCTAAATAGTTTCAGTTGCAGAAGAGTTTTACATTCCCTGAATGTCTGTTTTTGTGTATTTCTTTAGACTATACTGTAAAACCTTAGATCAGTGAGAATGCACCATGGCAATGGTCCTCAGAATGCCCAGCGCCAGCTCCAGAGGTCCAGGTCCTTCACGGGCAGTGAGGGAGAAGAACAACAGGCAAATTTACCCCAGTCCCCCGCAGCCTCTTTCGCGCCTTCTGCGAGTCCCTCGGCGCCGCAGTCGCCCAGCTACCAAATCCAGCAGTTCATCATGAGCCGGAGCCCCGTGGCTGGGCAGAACGTCAACATCACCCTGCAGAACGTGGGCCCGGTGGCCTCGGGCAACCAGCAGATCACTCTCACCCCGCTGCCGCTTCCAAACCCGACGTCCCCGAGCTTTCAGTTCAGCCCCCAGCAGAGGCGCTTTGAGCATGGATCCCCCTCGTACATCCAGGTCACCTCTCCGCTGCCCCAGCAAGTGCAGTCCCAGAGCCCCACGCAGCCCAACCCGGTGCCGGTGCAGGCGCTGCCCAGCGTCCGGGCGGGCACTCCCGGGGCTGGCCTGGGCATGTGCAGCCAGAGCCCCACCAGAGGGTTTGTGGATGCCAGCGTGCTGGTGAGACAGATCAGCCTGAGTCCTTCCAACGGCGGACACTTCGTGTACCAGGAAGGACCGGGGATTGCACAGATTGCTCAAGGAGCTGCTGCACAAGTGCAGCTTCCATCGTCCGGGCCGCCTGCCACGGTGAGGGAGCGCAGGCTTTCGCAGCCTCACTCGCAGTCTGGGGGCACCATCCACCACCTCGGCCCTCAGAGCCCCGTGGCCAGTGGGGCAAATATGCAATCTTTGACTAGCCCGGGCCACATCACAACGACCAGCTTGCCACCCCAAATCAGCAATATTATCCAGGGGCAGCTAATGCAACAGCAGCAGCAAGTGCTTCAAGGGCAGCAGCTGAGTAGACCCCTTGGATTTGACAGGACTTCTGGTGGATTGATAGCAGGGGTTGGAGGACCGAGTGCGTTTGGAATGACATCACCTCCTCCTCCCACAAGTCCTTCACGGGCCACTGTGCCACAGGGGCTGTCGAGTCTTCCTCTCACTCCTACAGCTAACACAGCAGTGAAAAAACAGCCCAAAAAGTTGGAGGAGATTCCTCCTGCCAACCAAGAAACTGCTCAAATGAGAAAACTATGTTTGGATCATCACCACAAGCAGATGGAAATTCTTAAGGAAACTTTTAAGGAATGTTTGATTGAACTGTTTTTCCTGCAACATCTTCAAGGGAATATGATGGACTTTTTAGCTTTTAAGAAGAAACATTGTGTTCCTCTGCAAGCATACCTGAGGCAAAATGACTTGGACCTGGAGGAAGAAGAAGAGGAAGAACAATCTGAGGTCATCAATGATGAGGTAAGAAACTTTACTGGAATAAAATCATAGATGAAGTTGTAGCACTGGGATTGTGAAGTATTAAAGAATGGGACAGGACATGAAAAATAAGTTGCTTGAGGTGAAGTGTGGCAGTTTTTCATAAAATAGTTGACCTGAAAGAATGCAGTTCTGCTGGGTAGTGTGATTCCATGGGCTGGTTTGAGTGTGCTGTTAGATTTTTGGATTTAAAATGAAAGCATAGAGAGGGAGCTTTAACTGTCCTAGCTGCACACAAGTAAAGGAAATGGTTTTAAGCTCTCAGAATGGTTATGACTAGGAATCATAGTTTGAATTTCACTTAACTAGACCTGGACAAACCAAAAAACAATGAGCAAAAGCATTACAAGAGATTAACCTGACTCATGTACTTCTAATCATAGATGTTACTGAAGTTGAATGTTGTTGCAGCCCAACAAAAATGTGAATTAATCTGATTAGTGAGGGAGAACGTGTAAGGGTCCACAGTCATGTATTACATTATTCAGGATGCCCTGGAGCTCTGTGTGTGAGCTGCTGGTTAAAGGATTAACACCCAGCACTTACAGACTGGACACTGACAAGTTCATTTTGTTACTTATGCAAAGGTTTAAATTCCTAACTTGAATTCACTGCTTATTGATGGCAAAGAACTTGAAAGAAGCTTGCCACAAACAGGTGCTGTGCAGCTTTTCCTGCATGTTTGTACCCATCTGTGGGTGCTGGAGCACTGGTCTGGTGCAGAGCCTGCCCACAAGCCAACTTGGCAAATGGTTGCAGCAGGGTAGATGGAACTGATGCCCCTGCACCTCTTGGCACTAATAAATATCTTCTAAAATGTGTGAATTGTGTAGCTGGCAGTTTGTAGAAGAACCAATATTATGTAAAGAACCTCGTGTTGCTTTGAATACCCCTTGGAAATGAGTGCCTTCACTGAAATTTGATGACTCTTAGGCATGAATCATTAGCAATCATACCTTCAGTTGGAATTTGTGGGAAATTTTAACAGAATAACGGCTGAAGTTTAATTTGTTCAGTACTTTGTTGTATAAGCTTCTTAATTAGGAAAAATCTATTTCTGCTTGTGACATTTGTGACAATTTTGAAGGAATCATTATATAGTAACATAAAAGCTAGCCTGTTACTGTAATTTATTGACAATGGATATTCAGTATTTTTTTTTCACCTGGTTTGTGTTTTGTCAAATTGTTTAGGTGTTCTTGTTGGGTTGCGTGTTTGTCAGCTGAAATAACCAGGTATTTTTAACTACCATTTGCACACTTTGAGGGATCTTTAGTGGGTGTAAGTGGTACAGGTTCCTTGAAGTCAGTGGTGCTGCTACACTTTAAATGAGTTGAGGCTCTGCCCTGTGGTGTTTCGGGTTGAGAATTTGCTGTACTTCACTGCCTTCTCGTGGTGGATCCTCTTTTGTTTGTGGAAGCTTCTTGTCCCTGTAACTGCTGGAGAATTTTGCAAAGTGCAACAGCAAAAGTCTTTATGTGTTTTCAAGTGATGAATCCTGAAAGATTAAGACATCTTTTGAGTATGTTCTTTCTTTGTATTTTGTTGTCGTCTCCTGTTTTATTTCCCCCTCCCCTCTTTATCACTTTCTGCTAAAGCAACGCGCTTCATCCCTTGCCTGGAAGGTTGATTTCTTTGGGAATTCGAGGGGAGAGTGAGTGGTGGCTGTGCTCATTGCTTAAATAAATGTTGAAGCTCTCTTACGTTCAGACTGTCTGTCATGCTAATTTGTTGTCCGTTAGCAGCAGCAATCATTCAATTTAAAACACACTTTTATGTTAACTGGATTTAAGAAAACGTTTCCAGTGACAAGAAGTCACAATAAACAGTCAAGGCTGTGCTCTGTTCTGCTATTAAAAGTAAGACAGAACTCTAAAAATGGGCTGTGCTCGAAACAAGCTGTACTGGTGGTGGTTTAGTTATTATCCCCTCTTCAGTGAGGTGCCATCAGTACCAAAGGAGTGTGTTGAACAGTTAAAAAAAAAAGAAAAACTTCTAAAAAGAAAATGATTCTCCCTTCTTTTTTTTTTTCCCAAAATATTTCTCTCAGGTAAAGGTTGTGACAGGAAAGGATGGGCAGACTGGTACTCCTGTCGCTATAGCAACCCAGCTTCCTCCAAATGTTTCTGCTGCTTTTTCATCCCAGCAGCAACCATTTCAGGTACTTTTCAATGGTTCTAAAATGTAGTTTCATCCCAGATTTTTTTTCTTCATTCAGATTTGATATTTCTTAGATGAATTAGAATTTTCCCAAGAGCCCATCCCTTATCATCTAAACAAAACCAAAAAACCTCTTCAGTCTTCAAATGCATCAGTAGAAGCCTTGAGGAAGTTAAAGCTTTGTCTCCAGGTTGCTGGCTTATTGCATTAACTTTCAGCTTGAATGTTTTCACTTTGGTTTGTTTGTCTTTTGTATCCCTAATGCATTTGGTTCATTTGTGCATTCTGCGTAGTGATGATATGGATTCTTTGTCTGTGGCATTGTAATTGTGGATTTCTTCTAAAATTCTTTTCTTTTTTTTCTTCCCCTTATGTATTAAAGGTTTTGAGTGTGGCTGCAGAAGGTTTTGGATTTGCCTTCCCTGAGATGTGTTAAACAATATACTAATCCTCTGACACAATTTGTTTTAAATAATTAACTGCTTTCCATTAGCTCTACCATAAATTTTGGGAAGAAGAAACAGAAGTGCTTATTTTGATTCCTTTTAAAAAGTCCTTTTTAACAATTTTTTTCTTTTTTTTCATGAGGAATGCTGGAGAAAGCCAAGAAATAAATGTGATAATCAGTTAAAATGTTTGTGGATCAGTGATGAACCTTTTCAGTTTGGTGTGGTTTTATGCAGCTGCCTTCAACTCTGTTACCCAGACATCACTGCGTACATACCCTGAGAAGTAATAGACCCTGATTCCATCTGCAACTAAATTATTTACCTTTTAGCTCAGTGATATGCTTAGCAGGTGTTGCAGGGTGAATTACTCTGCTGTACCACAGCAGCTGTACAGGCTGTGCTGCCTTTATCTGGGCTTTGGAAACAAAGTGAAATGAAATACAGGATGGGTTGTGTTCCTGTGTGTAACAAATGGGATGTTCCCTGTGATATTGTACAAAGGAGTTGTGCAGCAAAGGGGATTGCACTGAGAGCTCTTCCTTAGGGCCAGTACTGACATATCTTGGAAGTCTCCTTAGGTAGCCAGGCTTCATTTAAGCTGTTTAAAATAACTAACATTATATCAGGTTATTTATTGTAGTTATTAGGGTTACCACCAAGCTGTAGCTGCAGCAGTGGTGATACTTTTGAAGGTATTGTAGCATGCAGTTTCAGGGAAACTGGTTCATGCTAAAAATGCACAAAACTCTGTGTGGTACTGACCTTTTAGCACAAACTGCTAACAGAAAGTGGCATTTCTTTCCATCAGTCTTGCTCTTTGCAACTGTTTATGGAGAAATTATGTGTTCCAATCAGCATCACCATTCAAATCCCAGTGTAGAAGTGCAGTGCTCAGAGTGATTATTGTGTGCATGCTGCATAATCATGACCTTGGGACAGCTACATTATTTTAATTAAAGTTGGGACAGTTTTAGTCTAATATTATTGGTATGTGACTGCAATTTATGAAGACATGTCTGCTCTCTGAAGAGTCTGGCCTAAATTACATGGTGATAATACAGACAGCTGGGAGGCATATTCTTAAGAAAATGTCAGTCAAAAATCCTAAAGTAGAGATAACAGCCTGAAACTGTGAGTATGCAGTCATCCAGAGGGAAAGAGCAGGTGAAATAAATGTCATTTAATGTGGAGTTTGAAGAATATAATTTGTTAAACTGATGTCCCAGCAGCCTCTGATGCAAATGGGACATGAAATAAATTTGTTAGTCAATTTGGTAGCATTTGCATAATCAATTCTTGTTGCTTATTTTGAAAATTCTGTAAATGCCCAGGTCTATGATGCTCTGTCAGACACTGGCTGTTGGACCTGAAATATGCTGCATGTCTACCTTGTGACAAGACAAATATTTGAAAACTTAATCCCTATTGCGTGTGAAATAGCACTGAACTGTGAATATGAGTCAGAGACACTTAAAACCAGAATTTACATCTTAAGGCTGTAGCTGTATTGCTGGAGTGGCTGCAAATGCCCTCAGAGCAGCAAAGAGATTGAGTGTTATTAATTCATAGCTATTGATTGAGTCTGAGGGGCATGAGATATATTCAGCTTCAAAAGGAGCATTTGAAACCCAGTCATTGTAGGTGAGGTTGGCTGTGATTATTAATAGCATGCAGTGAAGCACTGAAGATGCAGAATGTCACTGCTGTGATTTATTTCAATATAAACTGGTGTTTACCTCTGTGGGTTTAATTTACATTGGTAAAATTTTGTTTAAAATCAGAGGAGAAAATAAAGTGTGTGAATAAAATAAAAAAAAAATTATGGGAAATTGCTATCTTTCTATGTTGTCATAAAAAAAATTGACATTTGCAAACCGTTACTATACTCAACTTTAAGGCTCTCACCATTAGAAAAGTACACTTTGAGAACTAGAGTGCTAAATTAATTCATTTCCCAGGATGCAGAAACTGCCATACATAAAGTCTGTGTTTGTATTTTCTGATGGTGTCTTTTAAGACCTTATTTTTCTCATATTAAGTTTCATAGTAGAATATTTGGTACAGCATGGCCAAATATTGAGGAGAAGTTAAAAATTACTTGGAAACTCACTGAAAAGAATTGGACTTGCACAGACACTGATGGATATTAATAAGTAAATATTGAGGAGAAGTTAAAAATTACTTGGAAACTCACTGAAAAGAATTGCACAGACACTGATGGACATTAATAAGTACTTGCCAGTATGCTGAGGGCCCAAGGAGCATGAAAATTGTTATGTACCCAAATTTGTTTGCTTCAGTAATCCTGTACACGAGCCTGTCACCTGTGCTTGATACTGAAAGGATTCTCTGGGATAGGTTCTTGTCATCGTTGCTGATATTAAATGTAGTGATTTAAAAATAAAGTTTGAATGCACTGTGTGATCTTACTGAAGCTAAATTCCAGCTTGCTGAATCAGAGCCCAGTGATTTCTTTTGCATCTTGATATCAATAGTCCTTTTCCAGGCTTGTTAATTCATAGCTTGTGTGCTGTTTATCCTCAGACAAAATGGATAGTAGTTTTTGGTGAGCTCTGATGTCACCTTAGCCTTATGGCAATATTGTTTCTCCTCACTGAGTTTGTTCATGAGACTCATTTTGCCAGCTGTGCAAACAGGTACAAGTCCAGCATCTGGAAAACTGGAACGGGAACTTGTGTACCTTGGCTGAGGTTCTTTATTCCATCTTCCTAGCTTTTTCCTGAAATATTTCAACAGTAACTCTCACAAAGCTCTATCCTGAGAGAACTGGAGACTCAAATAAACTTAAGCTGTTTTCAGCATGAGGATGAATTTGTGTTAGTGATGTTTCATACAGATATAATACACTAATGAAAATTTCCATTAATTAAAAAAAAGTAACAAAAAATACTGGGCAGGTTTGCTTTACATATCCCATTTTCCTGAGTTTGGTGTCACTTAACAATATGTAGGTGTGCATTATATATAAACAAATCCATCACTGTAAAATTTAAACTCAATGAAGAGTATTTGTGCATTGTGGACAACTAAAACTTCATAGCAGATACTGAATGAATCTTGTTTCCTTTGTTGTACAGCTGTTCTGAAGGACTTTTTCTGTGCTGGCCTCCTTAGATCTGCTTGTAAATTCTCTCCTGGTGTCAGACCATCTGCAGATTGAACTTCTGTGATTTGTTTTCTTTTCCCTGTAGCAAACGCATACAGGGACTCCAGCGACGGGGACTGTGAGCACCATAGAGATTGAAGCTTTTAAGAGACAGCAGCAGGCCCTTGCACCAGCAGGTATGTTCCACAGGCACAATTCCACTTCTATCCTCTTTTTTTTTTCCAAACAGTGATTGGAGCCCACTGTTCAAAAATACATTTTTGCCTCACCTTGGGAATCACCAGATCCTTAGGACTATCTACTGTGACTGGTGCTGTGGGAAGAGTGCACTCCACTCCCAGTAGATAGGCCTGGATTTGGCAGGCATGGAGACATGGTTAGGTTGATTGTTCTGGCTGAGAAGATTGGAGATGGCCAACTTGAAGTCAGAGGGACTCTGCCCCTGGAGCATGTTCTTCATAAATGCTACACATGTACAGTAGTTGTAGCTTTCGGAGCTGACGGTGGAATCATGTGTAGTAGTTTGCTTTGTGAAATTGAACCCATTCCATTATACCATGCCATAAATGGAATTTGAATATCACAGATTCGTCTAAGAGACCACGAATTGAAGTGGGCCGTCATGGGATGGTTTTTCAGCACCCGGGTGTGGCTTCAGGAGTTCCTCTTCAACAGCTAATGCCAACGGCACAAGGTACTGTGTCACCACATGCCAGTTGCACATTAATTTCACAAGGAGATGTTGGTGATGGAACTAGAAACTTGGGCTTCCGGCCTGCCAAGATCCTAGTCCCACCACACACTTCTCCATGTAAATTAATACTTGGTATGCAATGCCTGGTTTGTTTAAGGAGCTGAGTGACGGGCTCCAAAGGTGCATGTGGGCATGGAAAAACGTCACAGGTGCTGATGCAAAATGGCCAATCTGAGAATTCTGGAACTGAACCAATGATTTATGAAAAGGAAACCATCTAATTGAAACGTCATGACAAATTTTTATTCATTAGTCATTCCAAGCTTTAGAATATGTGTTAGAGTGAATGTGTTCTTAGAAAGAACTAAGTAGTATTTAGACTTCATGCTGGTATTTTAGGTTAAATTCCATTAGTTCACCAGTCCTTTTTTTTTTTTTGAGTATACAAAACTTAGAAGACCTATAATGACATGCTCTTTTTTAGTTGCTGTGCTCCAAATTTTAGTTACAGTCCTGTGCATGAAGTACTTCGTTGTTTATTGTAATGGTGATTTATTTTGTGATTGTGATGTGGTATTTTCAAGTGATGGTGTCTTGTGGCAAAGTAAGTAACAAAACCACTCTATTCGCAGTCGATTTCCTCCTTAAATCAGCAGAGAGCGTCGGATGTTTTAGTGTTTCAATCTCACCTGCACGTGTCTCCTCTTGCCCTGCAGGTGGGATGCCTCCCACTCCGCAGACGGTGCAGCTGACGGGGCAGAAGCAGAGCCAGCAGCAGTACGACCCCTCCAAGGGCCCTCCGGTGCAGAACGCGGCCAGCCTGCACACGCCGCCGCCGCAGCTGCCGGCGCGCCTGCAGCCCGCCAACGTCCCCATGGCGTCGCTGCCCGCCACCCTGCAGCTCCCCCAGCAGCAGCCTCAGCTGGTGGAACCTCCGGCCCAGCCGCAGATCCAGGTGAAGATCCAGCCCCAAAGCGTGCCCCTGACGGCCGCCCCGCTTCCGGCGCCGCTGCAGCAGCAGGTGCCACCAGCGATCCACGTGCAAGGACAGGCGCCCAGCCAGGTGTCGCAGCCGCAGGCTGCCATACAGCAGCAGGTACGGGAGCGTTGTGGGGTGGGCATGTGTTTGTTTCCATGGCCGGTAGAACCTAAAAGTGCTGTTTCATCTCTTAATTCCACTGGACAATTAAATCCTTTCCTTGTAAAAATGCAGGTGTGTCGCCTTGTTCTTCTAAAGTTCTTCTAAGCCTTCTGATGTTTACATTTTTGTAATAGAGTTTCTCACGCACTTTTCATGTAGATAATATTGTTTTCATTCCTTTCTGGAAGAAGAGAAAACTGATAAACTGTTAGTTTGACCAGTGTGGTTGGAGAAATAGCAACTTCATCCTCCAATCCATGGTCACTTTTAGAATTCTATAAATATCAAAGTCCAGAAATAAATGCACCCTTTTTGCCTTAGACATCTCAGCGTGTGAGTGTCGTTCATTTCATGTCGTATTGTGACACAGGTGTACATTTATTATTAAGTTAAAGTCTCCATTATGTTCTGCTCTGGTGTAGACTAAATATTGAATCCTCAACTCATCAGTAACCAGTGTGTTTCTTGGGCAGACTGTGACTCTGACACGGCCATCTGCAGATCCTGCTCAGAGTTCTCAGCGTCTTGCAGCAAATCCACTGCCACCTACCTCATCCATCGCTCCAGCAGCGATCCCAGGCACAACACCGCCTTCTCCATACCCAGTGCAAACAAACAGGACCTCTCCAGCAACCAACAAATCCCTGTCTCCTATTGCATCCAAGCCTCCTGGCTTAGCAGTAGCAGCAGCAGCACCTAAAACACAAAGTCCAGCTCAGAATGCAGCGGTGTTGCCACAGGAAAACTCTCAAGACAAGCTGGCTGAGCAAGTCAAGCTGGTAAGATATATTCTGTGTGATGCTTTTACACCTTTTATTTTCCTGTCAATTAATTTAATAAAGTGGGAGCAATTACTATTTTTCTCTGATTCCACAACTTCAGGTGCATTCTGCAGCTTCATTGTAAGTCTCTGTACTTCTTTTTTAGGAAAATCAAATCCACCAGCGGATAGCAGAACTGAGAAAGGAAGGTTTATGGTCCCCCAGGCGACTGCCTAAACTCCAAGAGGCTCCAAGACCAAAATCCCACTGGGATTATTTGCTGGAAGAAATGCAGTGGATGGCAACTGATTTTGCCCAGGAGAGAAAGTGGAAGATGGCAACTGCTAAGAAGGTACTTGAAAACCATTTTATGACTCAGAGCAATAAATGTTGATATCACTCAGTTTGGTAGCAAAGCTGTGAGGTATCTTTTGTCACAGATAAAAGTAAAGGAAAGATCAGGCACTAACTTCTACCTCAAATGAGAAATTTTGTTGTCAGTTTTGCATATAACACCTGAGACAGACTGGATAATTGTACAGATTGTGGATGCAAGTAACAGTTTGTGGATTTTATTCCTCTGGAGATCAAATAGCTTTTTTAGGAGCCCACTCAATATGTTGACTGGGTTGTATTTAAATAAAAACTGAAGTTGTCATGCCTGTCTCACAAATTAGTTATTTCCAAATAATAAAGAGTAAATACAGAATTTTGTAAATAAGTTCCATTGGGTGTGGTTGTCTGTCTAGTTATTTTTTCTTAATCTCACAGAAAAATACGAGTAAAGACAGTAGTGGAAACATGGTAAAGAATTGTTTCCGTAGGAGTAGAGAGCAGCACACCAGGAATACAGTAGTGCAATGAAAATTTGTATGGTGTGAGATGAAATATATAAAATCTGTTAATCTACAGTAAGCAAAGGTTTTCTATGGATACCAGCAATGTTGCATCTTTTTTTTTGATACATTTATGAACAGTTTAGGATAATGAACAGAGCAACTGAAGGTCATTAGTTTAAATTGCCATGTTGTTTTCTACTGTATATTCTGAAATGATGGAAACTCAGAAGTAAAATATTGAAATTAGTGTATTGTTTTGTACAGTAAATATCTGCATTTTGAATATAATTTAAATCTGGATTTCCATTTGTGGCCAATGGTAGGTTTTTAAGAATAGGAGAAACAGGAAGGGCAAATGTGAAATGATCCTTCCCCTGGCACTTTGCTTCAAACTTCTGGAAGTCAATGTTTTAGGGACCTCCTGAGCTAAAGGTTGCAATCAAGTCAGTCTTAACAGCCATTGACTGATCTTTCACTCATGTATGTACACTCTTTTTGAACTCATTTTAGCTTTGGTCTCTGACATTTTGTGGTGTGATTTCTGTGACTTCGTATGTGCTGTCTGAAAAAAAGTTTTCTTTTGTGTGTTTGCTGCTAATTTCAGTGGAATTTTTTCTAATTTTTGTGTTCAGAGAGTGAATTAAGAGTTTCCTACTTGATTGCTTAGTTATAGTTGTATATTTTTTTTTCTTTGAGTTTCATGTCTATTGCTTTAGTGGCGTGGTAATAATTAGAAATATTGGAGGTAAGTGCTATGTGTGTAAAGCTATGGTCAACATCTGGCTGCTGATAACCACTATAATCTTAAGAAATGCAATGATATGTATTTTGAGGTAACCTAATTCAGTGTTTCATGGTATTTTAGATGGTAAGAACTGTGGCTCGTTACCATGAAGAAAAGAAACTTAATGAAGAGCGAGCTAAAAGGGAAGAACAGAACAAACTGAGGAGGATTGCAGCATCCATTGCTAGGGAAATAGAGTATTTCTGGTCTAACATTGAGCAGGTAAAGTACCCACTCACTAATTTTCATGCAGTTTGTGGTGGCTTTTTCATCTAAAGGAGTTTATTTGTGAAATAAAAGTGGTTTATTAGACTTGCTTTACATTTCAGGTTGTTGAAATTAAACTGCAAATTGAATTTCAAGAGAAAAGGAAAAAAGCTTTGAATCTAAAGAGATTTTCAAGGAAAGGTAATTGTATTCCATTTAATAAGAAATATAGTCTGAATTCTGATGATATTGTTTTATATAATATCACTCAGTGCAGGTTAATCTTGTTGTTGATAAAATTGTGAGTTGCTAATAATAGGTTGTGAATAGACCTGAATAATGAGTTAAGGATTTTTATGTTTTTGTGTTAGATTTTGTTAATACTTCTTGTGTTTTCCTTTGAATACATTTAAAAGTTCATGTAAGAAATGTAAAATTGCTAAGTGATGAATACATACATCAAGTGTAATAATTTTCCAGGTAAGGATGCAAAAGAAGACTTTTATTTGGAAAAAGAAAGTGAAATGGTGAGTCTTTGTTTTTTGAAAAAGCCATCAAATTAGTTTAAATGTGACTACATATGTTAAAAATTTTGATAAAGGTGATTTTTAAAAAAAATACATGGTGATGATAAGATTTCACTGACAAATGAACATTCAGTCACAAGCACAAGTATAATTTTTCTGGTTAGGAAGGGAAGTAGATTGTGGTTGGTACGTGTCTTTTGTGGCTGTGAATCATTCATTCTGAGATTGAAGACCAAAAAACTGTACAAATTAATTGCCAGACTTGGGCAGGAGTTTCATCTGCAGTAGCCAGGGGTAGACTTTGTGAGGCATGAAATGTGTTTTCAGGTGTTCAGCAGAGATTTATCTGCTGAGTTGCAGGTGTATGTTACAGAATGGATCAAACTGAATGAAACTTGGATATCTTTTTCCCTGGATAAATCACAGAATCACAGAATAATGAGACCTCTAAGGTCATAGAGTCCAACCTATGTCCTAACACCTCAACTCAGAATCTAGACTATAGCACCAAGTGCCATGTCCAGCCTTTTTTTAAACACATCCAGAGATAGTGCTAAGGACTCCTTGGCTGTGTCTGTGCAATTGGAAAAAAATGGACAAGGGATCTGAGGCCCTGAGCCATCTGTTGTGGCACAGCTGATGCCCATGTGCTGAAATCTGCCTGCATCTGAATGTCCTGCTAGGAACAAGCCGTAGCATGTGTTATCAGCCAAACTGTGGCCCAGCAGTGGCTGTGAGAGTTAATTGGCACAGGCTAAACAATTCTACAGAGTGCACTGGACAGCTGAGACAATTACAGGCCTGTGCCATATCCCTTTTTTATTGACCGGTGAAAAAATTTAGTCCTTGAGCCAGCCTGGATAAAAGTTCTATACCATAGCTGGACCTGAATAATTTTGACCCATGAGCAGTGGAAGGGCAGACTGCGCCCTCCCATCAGTTCAGAATTAGAGTTTCTGTTTTTACATGACCAGGGAAGTGCTAATAGATATTAAGTGTCTATCAGCAAATGCTTTTGGGACTGCAAGGCATGTTTTGTTGTCTTTAAAAAACAAACAAAGCCCCCTGCTTATCTTTTGTTTTTTCTGATTTTAAATATTACAACTATTTAATGCTAGGGGGGTTCATCATCTGGAAGAAAAAGAAAGGCAAGCACATCTTTGACTGATGAGGAAGGTAAGTCACTTCCCAAAATTTTGCATCCATAACATAGTACAGAATTTGAATATTAAACCCACTGTTACTGTTTGGGTGCAGTGCTCTTCATGAGCCAAATACCAACCTTCATCTATTTCTTAGAAACATTAGATAGTCAATGAAATAGTAAATTATCCCTAAAAGTGCTCTAGTGAAAATTTGAAAATAACATTTTCCTTGAAATGGTACTGCTATCATTGTTGGTGGATTTTAATTCTTTCCGTCCTCCTTACTTCATTTGTCAGGCCTTACTAATGGTCTTGAAGTTCTTTTGAGGATTTTAGACTGAAATACCCATCTGCTTTGGGTCCTTTCTTGTTGGTGATTACTCTGTCATGTTCCTGACAAAGGAACTCTCCTGTTCAAAGCTTCAGAACAACCTGTGGTGAATATTGTCAATCAACACTTAACTGCCTTCTGTCCTGAGGCAGAAGTGCTTCTCTCCTGTTCATTTATCTTTTAAATACTGCATATAGTTGCTTTCAGATTATCTTGTTTTCCATATATATTTAATTATTTTTAAATCCTGCAAACTTAGAATATTCTACAGACTTAGAATATTCTCTGCTTGTTCACTTCAGGGGTGTAGAATTACAAGTCTCCTGAATTATTTTATAATTTTAACCCAAGATTTGCATTTGTTTTCTTGTAGTTGAAGATGAAGAAGAAACAATTGAAGAACAAGAAGCTAAAGAGGGCAACATAAACCATCAAACTGAATTGTCTAATCTAGCCAAAGAAGGTAGGCACGTGGCTTGGTCCTTCTCTGGGCTGGGCTCTGAAACAACAGCTGGAAACACACACTTGTTATATTTGTAAAGAGGATTAGAGGTGGGAGACTGCATTCAGATGTTCAGTCCTGTGTAGTCTGTGTTTAGTTTTTTCTGTTTGGAAAGCTGCAGCAGTTTATGGGGTGATGATGGACATTTGCACTTTATAAAGCAGTCCTAGTTACCACACAAGGTGGCTTGACAAAAAGTAGTTCTCTAGTGAAGCACTGCATTAAAACCTTACACCAAGACTCTCAACCCAAGTTCTAGGAGTGCATGATAAACACTTAACATCAGGTTTGTGTCAGATTGAACATGGACATTTTATCAGCTGTCTTGAGTATCCCAGAAGGGTTTTGTCACTGACTTGGTAGGTCCAAAAGGGCACTTAAGTGCTGATCTTGGAGGGGGGTGGGTATAAATATTTGAAGATAAGGTGCTTTTAGGGACAGTGCTCTGGCTAGCAGCTCTCTCTCATTAGCAGTGTAATTGCTATGCTGAGTTTGATGTGTGCAAAGTAGCCCACAGAGATGTGCCACTTAGCCTGGTAACAGCGGATTTTTGGAGGCAGGCTGCCCATTAGGCTGAGCGTGCCTGGCGATGAACACGCCGTTTCCAGATCTGTTTGTTTGGTCTGTTTGGCAGCTTGGTGGCTGCACTGAACTGGCCAGTTGGAGGGATTATAAGCCTTGGTCACTCAGCCAGGTTCCTAATGAGAATGTTTGCTGATTGATTGGCTGCTGCCAGCATGTACATTCCTGCTTTAACAGCTCAGACAAGGGATCCTGGAGTTACAGCTCAGTTTTGAAACTTTTGAAGTCTTGCGTTGCCTTCCAGCCATTCATCTGGATTTGCTGCCCCTACCTTCCCAACTGGGGGTTTACTGAGGGCTATTGGGTGTCTTTGTAATGCAGTAAAAACCAGGGTATGAGAGCAGACTGCTTGGTGTAGTGCCATATGTTCTCTGTAATCAAGGTTATTAAATAAATAATGCCATCATTCACTTAATAATTACCTCTGAAGTTAACTTCTGATTAGAGAACTGGCTTTATGCAATTGTGAAGAATGAAGCGAGATTATAATTAATAGTATCTGTAGTTCCACGTTTGGTATTTTTATTTGGTATTTTTAAACATCCATCCTTTAATGATCTTCAGCTGAATTGCCTCTGGAAGAATTGGTGAAGATGTACGAAGGTGCCTTTGCAGAAAATTTTCACTGGCCCCAGCCAAAGCCTGACAGTGAAGAGGAGAGCAGTGAGGAAGGTAAATTACTCTATGTTTAGAAGTAGTTGTTCTGATTTACAAGGTGAAATAAGTTGCTTGGCTCTTCAGGACTCTGTGAAAAGACATTTTGTTCTAGGGGAAAACACATCTTGAGTGAATCATTAAAAAATTAAAATTTCTCAGTTTGTGTAAAGAGGGCAGTGTTTGCCTGTCCTGAAGGGAAGATGTGTGAGATTTTCAAGAACAGTACTGAGCCATAGAAAAGCCTCTCTACACTGAATTAAACAGCACACTTCATAGGTAGCTATAATTATACCATGTTAGCCTAGCTAGACAAGTAGCCTGAGCTTAGGCTGTTTGCATTTTACCTGAACTAGCTTGAAAATCATAGAAATGCTTTTAAAAGTTAGCTGCCTCCCTTAGACCCATGTCGGAATCCTTGTGATCTCAATTCCTTTGTGTAACTGCTACTGAAGTTTATTTTAGATACCACTGTAATTTTTCTCTCTCTCTCCTAGAAATGGAAGACCACATGTCTGATAGGGAAAGTCCCCAGAAAGAAGTTGTCCTCATAGATTCCCTTCTCAGCATTGACCAGTACAAGGGCATGGACAGATCAAGTCCTCCCAAGAAGCACATGCGAGACATAGCAGAAGTTGCTGCTGCAGCAGAGATGTTGTTACCTAAAGGCAGCTCCAGGATAACAACAGCAGTAAGAATCCCTATTTTCTGCTACTCTGTGTGCTGATGTTTACATAAAAACCGATTTTTTCTTCATTATTTTGTAGCTTTTAGCAAGTAATTGATTTTTTTTTTTTTGAGTTACCTCTAGAATGTTTATGCTTTATGCCATGCTCTGTGAATTTAACTCAGGAAGGAATACCAAATTATTCACATTACAGGTAAAATACAACACTCCATCACTGTTGTATGGGTCTCTCAGAGAATATCAGAAGATTGGGCTGGATTGGCTGGCAAAGCTGTACAGGAAGAATCTCAATGGCATCCTGGCAGATGAGGCAGGGCTTGGAAAAACTGTGCAAATTATTGCTTTTTTTGCCCATTTGGCTTGTAATGAAGGTAAGTTAATTTGGCTAACAGTTTTCGACAGGTACTGTGCCAGCATTATTTTTGTGAATTGTAGCCTAGGGTCACTTCTTTTCCCCTACTGAACTGTATCAGACTTTAGTTAATAATAGGAGTAAGATTGTGTCACAGTAACTTCCTAGTATTTTGTGACATAAGGGTGTTATCTAGTCAAGTAAGTGTCTGATCAACCTACTACCCTCTAGAGAGTCTTCTGAGTACTTCTAAGTTCTTACTAGTACAGATAACCTTACAAATTGTTTAATGACCAGGAGTAGATTAGTAGTTAAAATGCCTCTGTTTGTTGTTATTGGATCTCACTTTTAATGATTAATTTAATGCAATGCACTTAAAAAACCAAGGGAGAATATAAGCCACATGCATTGTAAGGAGTCTCTTTCCAGTGTTTACTGCTGTGTTTCCCCTTCTGTAGGGAACTGGGGCCCTCACCTTGTTGTAGTCCGGAGCTGTAACATATTGAAGTGGGAGCTGGAATTGAAACGCTGGTGCCCGGGGTTGAAAATACTTCTCTACTTTGGGAGCCAAAGAGAACTTAGGGCAAAAAGACAGGTGCTGTATTTTGCAATTCTTACACTGTTGCCTATACATTTAGCCTGTATATATCTGTCTTGTTTATCTTTTCTAATGAAGAAGTAGCTGGTTGTAAGAGTTTGAGAGTTCTGCCTTTTCTGTCTCATCCTTTCTTTCCTTTTCCATAGGAATGGACAGAACCCAACAGCTTCAATGTGTGCATCACTTCCTACAAGCAGCTGTTCAAGGGCCACACAGCATTCATGAAAATGCGATGGAAATACTTAATAGTAGATGAGATGCAGCAAATAAAGAATATGACTGAGAAACACTGGGAGGCACTTTTCAATCTCCGCAGGTACAGAGCAGAGAATTGATTTCCTGCTGGCAGTGAGTTTTTCTCTTTTTATGTCACACAGTTCTCTTCTTAACAGAAAACTTGATTAAAAAAACCCCTCTTGACTTGGCCTGCTCAAATTCCTGAACAATGTGCACCTGTAGAAAGTGCTTTTATTTGAAACAATCAGGATTCAGAGAAATGCTTGAGATCTTTTTGTTCCCACTATCATATCACTGTAATTCTTCTTTGCTGATATTCTGTGCTCCCAAACAGATTCCCTTGTATGTTCTGATACTCTGCATTGAAGAAGCTATTTGGTGGTATATTCAAGATTGAAAAGATATTTGTCCTCGGTTTAATTTTATTATATCTACATAATTCTTCTATGTATCTGACAAACAAAGTGCATAGTAATCAGTCGATTAAAAACCTTCTTTTGTTCACAGCCAGCATCGTTTGCTTCTGATAGACACTCCTTTGCATAACACATTGATGGAGCTGTGGACCATGGTACATTTTTTGATTCCGGGAATTTCCAGACCTTACCTGGATTTTCCAGTAAAAGCACCTAATGAGGAGAACCAGGATTATTGCCATAAACTGGTCATCAGGTTGCACAGAGTATGTTGGAATTTTTTCTCATGCGTCCTACTACAAGAGTAATGCTGTTAAGGAGAGGGGGAATAAAAATATATGGTTCAGATCAGAATTTGTGTCTTTTCTTAACACTTCGTTCAGTTTAGACAGAAAATCTTGCTGAAAGCAGAGGGTTCTGCTACCAGAAGAATGTGGAGATTTCTTTAAAAAATAATACAAAGCTCAGATTTTGAAGCATGACATGCAGAAATTAAAGAGCAAATTAATGTCTACACAACTGTGTGCATAGCAGAATGATTATATATAGCATATGCAGTTTATCACATAAAATCTGTTAGGTGTGAATAAGTTTAGCTTCCTGTTGTAAAGTCTTTGAAGTGAGACTTTTTTTCCTCTCAATTCTGCAACGTTTCAGATGATTCAGCCGTTTATTTTGCGGAGATCAAAGAGGGATGTTGAGAAGCAGCTCACGAAGAAGTATGAGCACGTGCTCAAGTGTCGTCTGTCTAGTCGACAAAAAGCCATGTATGAGGATGTCATATTGCAGCCAGGGTAAGGGCTTGGAACAGTAAATATAAAATGCTGTCACTTTTAGTGCTTAAGCAAGGAAAGAAATGATTGTCATGGGGAGAAGTGTTTTAGTGCTTCTCTGAAATTTTGCGTTATGACCCGTGAATAAAATGTGATTGCATTATAGACTAGAGTTACAGCAGGTGATGTAATTTTATGCTATTTTATGCTGATGTGATAAATGTGCATTTACCTCTGGAACCTAAGAATCCAGTTATGATGGTCAGGTCTTCTGCTGTGTTGTTTTAACATTTGTCTCTAATGAGTGTCTTTTGTCTTCATTTTTTTAAAGCCCAGAGTTTTTCCTCACCACCCTCCTGCCAGTGGTAATTGATAGGTGCAGGGATGAGACAGAAACAAAGCAGGGAGAGGATGGGGAACTGGATAGATTGTATTTGATTGTAAGGCAGCACTGGTTCTTTAAGTTTTCTCTTTTCCAAATTTACTTTTGGTACAGTGCTGCTTAGAATACTGCAGAAGACCTTGGTGAAACCTAAACTTGTTCTAAGACTTTTGCATAACATACTGCATTGCTCATTCTCACCTTGCTGATTTAGGGACACCTCCATGGAAGATGCACATAAATCAATGTCTCTCTCTATAATTTATTTGGTAGAACCCAGGAAGCCCTCAAAAGTGGACACTTCATCAGTGTCCTGCATGTCCTGATGCAGCTGCAGCGGATCTGTAACCACCCTGATCTGATAAACCCCCGGCTTTCAAGCTCCTCTTACGTGTCAGAAACACTGGAATACAGAACAGCCTCTCTGGTGCTGCGAGCCCTGGAAAGGGATATTTGGAAGGTCAGTAGAAAAGTTAATGTTATTTTCCTCTCTCAGTGCCCTGGCAGAATTTCAGTACTTATTGTTGTTTTGTTATATGTGATAGGTCTGCCTGAAGTTTATAAATAGAAGGAATTCACTCTTCCATAGCTGTGGCTACCAAGTGTGTTCTTGCTGCATCTCTTTTTTTTTGTCACAGTGGTTTGAACTTTTCAAGTGGTTTGTAAACAGTAATTTTTCATGAACAAAGAGAAATTACCTTTGCTTTTATCTTGCTCATGTTTGCAGGAATTTTCCAACACTGAAGTCACTCTGGGTAGCGCTGTGCTTATTTATGGCATTCTGCAATTTTCCTTTTGCTTTTACTAGCTGAAGGAAAGCAAGACTTATTCTTTTCCACATAACAGTAAACATTCTGTTACAATGACTAAATTAGTACCCTTCTGTCAATCCATTTGAAGTACCACTATTTCTGTTATTGTTAAACAAGTGATCCCACTCCTTGACATGATAAAAAATATAAAAGAAGTATGAGTAATGGAGCAGCTGACATTTTTTATTTAATTTTATTTCCATCCTTCATATTTTTCTACTCCTAAGTTATAGTTTGGCATTTAAGCTTGATAGTTAACCTTCAAAGAGTTCTATTTAATTCTTTGGAAAGTATGGTATATGAAGAATTGTTAAATGTGTTTTGCTTTAATTTCCATAACTGGCTAATGATTTCAGTTCTTTTTCTTCTAATGCTTAAAATAGGACTGTCAGTTTAAGATCTATTTTCAAGGTTTCTAGACAGTTTTGTCTAATAATTAATAGTTTATTTCTTAAACTTGCACCATTTATTTCAAGTTAAAAAGTAAATATATGGAAATTTAATTCAGCTTTGAACGTAAAGAGAACTTAACCATTTGGGACATCACATAAAACAAACAATTTTCTGAAATCCCTAGGAATCAGACCTGTCTCTTTTTGATCTCATTGGAATGGAAGACAAAATGACTCATTATGAAGCACAAATGTTGCCAAAACAAAAGGTTACTAGAAAGCTGATTGAAGAAATCTACAGCTCCCCTCCACCACCAGCGAGGCCCAACCCAGTGAAGCTCAAACCAAGCAGGTGTGTAGACCTACACTCCTTCTGAGCCAGAATTACAGCAGCAAAAGGTGGTTCTGCTGCAATCCTCACTGAGTTCTCTCTGCATCTCTGCTAATGGGATTCACACAAAACCTCAGGCTTACCTTTGCATTTAATTTTTATCTTGCTTTCCTGTTTGCCTCTGAAAATAAGAATTCTGTTCTTTGAGGCATGCAATTCCATTTGAAATTTGTTGATGGATTTCCCACAGTCCTTACTTCAGCAGCAGATGAACTTTGTTCTTGGACCTTGTTTATGGCAAATTGAGTGTTGTTTTGAAGAATTAGCATGAGTATAATTCAAGACTAAGCAGGGCCTGCAGTGTCAGCTGTGCTCTCACTGTTCTGACAGAGATATATGAAGTTTTATAGCAGTACATTTTTTAAAGTATTTTTTTTTCTTCTAGTGAAGTAGTGTTCTCAAGGTAATGTGGAACTGTTTTTCTAATGCAAGAGAGCTGCCTGATGACCTGCAACATGTTGATGTCTCTCTGGAGATTATATGGGAGCCTTTTTTTTCAGATATCTTCAGATATATCTTTTCCCAGATATTGACCTAGCCTCTTTAAGATGTTTGCTGTAATTCTGAAGCATCCTGCGTTAAACTGGGTGTATGGAAATGAAAGTTTCTTTTCTTGGATTCAGCAAAATCACTTGCTACAATGTTCACTTAGGAACCTTGTGAAGTGACGAGTCTTGCCAGCTTCATCCATATTGCAGGGAGATTAGCATCTGACATGATCAGTTTATATGTTCCTGGGGTTACAGAGTTTACTTCTAAAGGCCAAACTATGATCTTCCTCTAGACTTTGACTGTTTCTGCTCTTGCCAGGTTGTTCCAGCCCGTTCAGTATGGTCAGAAGCCCGAGGGCAGGACTGTGGTCTTCCCAAGCACTCAAGTCCAGCGCACGGTGACCACGGCAACGGTGACTCAGCAGGGACAAGTTCGAGGCAGATCCCCCATAGCCACGGTGTCCTCAAATCAAGGTAAGGGAGTCAGTGCCACCCTGGTCACCTGCAACTCAGCCTAGACAGATACAAGTTAGTCTGTTTAATAGAACTCCTTTTCCCTCTAGCTTATTGGTCTAGAATACTAATGGCTTAAAAATACCAACAGACTAATTGCCAGTTAAATTTCCCGCTAGTTTCTCCAGTATGATCTGCCAGTATAATGCAAAACTAAGCTTTGTGTAACCTGTTAGCATATGGAGTAAATATGCCACAGTTGATATTTAAACTTCTGTCAAAGATGGGAATGTACAGTGCTTCTCTGTATTTATTTAGCCTTTAAACAATGCTTTCCAAATAGATAATATTGTAAAAATAGGATGGAGTAAGAGGTGTGGCTAGAAATCCCAGTGTGTAAGGACAAAGCCGTTCTTGTAGCCGTTTGATTATCCTGTTGGAAGGTTTCTTTTTAATGCAGGTTGTTTAAAAGAGCGGAGTTAAAACCTCTAACAGCTTGCACAAACAACCCTTATTGATTGCAGCTGCAGCAGCACAGTTTCAGACAACTCAGGCTTCCACCAGTGCTCCAAGACACCAGCCCGCAGCGACCTTCACCACAGCAACTAGCGCAGCCAACCCTGTGAAACCGCGGGGCCAGACCTCTGCGCCGGCCCCGCAGCCGGGCCAGCCCCAGCCACAGCCACAGCCACAGCCCCCCCCGCACACCATCCAACAGAGTGTGCTGCCTCAGAGGCTCGTACTGACCTCTCAGGCCCAGGCACGGTTGCCTAGTAAGTGGCCTCCCCTTTCAAGGTTTCTCCCACCTTTGTACTACAATGAGGTTAAGTTACTAGGCACCCTAAGATGTGTACAGAATCGTTGTTTTTTTTTCACTCTTCTGATTAGCCTTGCTCAGTACGTTGCTTATGACCAAGGAAAATCGAAAATTGGATAAGAAACAATAGAATTGCTGTGGACATACATTAGCGGTGTCAACTTAATCTCCTATTTCTGCATGTTTCTTCTGCTGGCAAGACTTCCTTCAGACCAAATGTTTTAGCTCTCTCCTAATTATTCCTTTCATGTTAAACACTAATCCATCTGCTAAAGGCCTCTCTGGCGGAGAGGAGCGTCGCCACTGTTAGGCAGAGAAAAGTGATGAGGCTTTGCTTTAAGGTTGTATGTGCACTGCCTATTAGCATGTGTAGAGAGTACTGAGCACTGATGTATTAATTTTATCTCTGGGGTAATGCACTGCCTTTACAAAAGCTGAATTTTCACACCAGTATTTTCTCAATATCCTAAAACTTAATGCTGAAATGCCTGTAACCTTCCTGCATTTAAATCACAAAAAGCTTGGTCCTTTCCACTTCAAAGCTTTTTGGTTTGTCTAAATGCAGATTGCTTAAAAGAAATCATGTTTCATCAGCAAATTTTGAATGTGTATTTTATGTGCCACACATAGGAATATTTTAATTTCTTCCTTAAACCTTCCTTCATGCTCTTGAAAAGGCAGTGAAAATCACTTTATTGTCTCCACTTGTTCTGTTACAAAGTGTCACATGAGTTTTCAGGTAGCTCTTAACTTTTTTGCTAATGAAAGTGGTAATTTCTAAAATGTTGATGTTCTTACCCTTTAAACAATCAGCTTCTTTCCAGTTTGTCCAACAAATATAGAAAGCAATACCTGCTTAACTTTTATATGACACTTTTGATGCACTAAGTATAATTATGCATGGAAGGCGCTTCAGCACCAGTTTACTAACCAAAATGTAGAATTGTGAATATCGAAAATCTCGCCTCCCACTTTGATTTTTTAATGCCTGTTTCCCTCCTTAACAGGTGGTGAGGTAGTAAAAATAGCCCAGCTGGCTTCTATAGCAGGAGCACAAGGCAGGATTGCTCAGCCAGAGACCCCAGTGACTCTGCAGTTCCAAGGGAACAAGTTCACCTTATCACACAGTCAACTCCGGCAGCTCACTGCAGGGCAGCCCCTGCAGCTACAAGGTACTTATTTCAAAAAAGACAATTTTCCATTATTCAGAATGCTCATGTTTTGATATGGGTACCTCGTTCCTTGTTGCTGGAGATTTTTCCATTCCCAGTACTTGTAATTGTCCTGCTCTTCCTATTTTCTGTGAGCCATGGTAGCTCTGGTTTGAAAAATAAATGCCTATCACAAGAAAGACATGGTTAGTTTCTTTTTCTGTATTGTATTTGAAAAATGTTGTTATTTCCTTTGTTTCCACACCCATTCAGTGCAGCTAAAGTAAGGTGAGGCATTATTTGATATAAACTCTCTGCTGAGCAGAAACAGAAAAAATTAGAACATTCTTGGTTTATTCTGAAATTGTGTAAATAATACTTCAAGTTTGGCATGCTTCTGAATTTTGGCCCAATTATTGCCCTTGTCTGAGTGCTCTACCTACACTAGATTTTGTTCTGAAATCTCCCTTGCTGGTGGTGTGTGTTACCAGATTTAAGAGAACTGGCATGTCTTGATTCTCTGTGGCCAACAAAATAAATAGAGCGAATGTTGAGTGAAGATTTTTTGTTTGATTGGATTTTGTCCAAATTCTGTATAAATACGTAGGTTAGAATGATATCCCATGACATGAAACTCCTCTTCAGCTATGAATACGTGGTTGTTTCCCTTTCCTTTTTTCATTCACCAGATTGGTATAATGAACGTGTCTGGTAAAATGAAACATAATTTGATGCAGTAATGATCAGCTTGTAACACTAATAGATTTTGCTAGAGAACATGAATTCTTTTCCACCCTAATGTGTGTTAAAATCCTTCACTGCAGGAAGTGTCCTTCAGATTGTGTCAGCCCCTGGGCAGCAGTACCTGAGGCCTCAGGGTCCCGTGGTCATGCAGACAGTTTCCCAAGCAGGAACTGTGCAGAACGCCCTGAACGCTTTAGGAAACCAGCACCAGGCAGGTGGCCCAGCTTCCACTGCAGTCACACAGCAAGGTGGGTTTTCCAGCCTGAAGAAATGTCTCTGTCTAAATATTCAATTGCTAAAATCACATTTGTATATAACTCCAAATTGTTGCAGATCATAATTCTGTAAGTTGAGCTCAGAAGTGGGTAAACTTTGAAGCAAATCTTTGCAGTTTGTATTTGGTGTGTGCTGGAGTTTTAAGAAAATTTTTAGTACAAACTTAGGAGAGCATGTAAATTAATTGTAGATTTTTTTTTAACCCATTTTGCCTTTGGTCAAATTTTTTTTTGGGAAAGTAAATTTGAAATACTTTGTTAATTTTTGCAAGGAAAAAGCAAGGGTGATAATTTTTTATACTGACAAAGAATGTCCAGTGATTGTCTCAATTTTTCCATATTGATTTTGCTTTTATCTAATTTCTTTCACTTTTCTAGCTGATCAAGCTACAGTTTTCCATTTCCCTCTGCAAATGTTGCTTAGGTAGTTGGTGCCTTGCTGTAAATGTGATCATTTGCTTAAAAACACAACCAAGATGTTGATAAAAAATAATGGAGAAATTAATGCATTTACAACAAAACAGCAGTTTATTAAATGAAGATAAATATAACACTAGGAGTTCATTCCCTGAAAATGGCCATCTGCTGTAATTTTCTTGGGATATAAAAAAACATTCCTTCAAAATGGTGTGATGCTCTTGCATGGTAGTTAACTGTCTGGGTAAACATCTGCTAACAGTTGAAATGGCAAAAATGCTACTGAGATTCCATCATATGTTTTCACCAATTTGTAGATACACTCAGTTGATGTGTTTTCTGAAAAATCTTAGATGATTTGCTCAAGATAAGTTAAAACAATATTTTCCTGTATTAGAACATTTTCTGTTTTCTATTGTGTTCATATTAACATTTTCTGAATGTCAGTGTGTATTGCACTATACATGACATTTTGAATAAAGTACAAATGGAGCACAGCACACTGCTTTGTACAAAGAAAAGTAAAATTCCATTGACCTATTTTGGATTTTTGTGAGAACACTTAATGTGAATATCTGTCAGTGATTTGATGTATAACAAATTACAAATTTGCAATACTCTATGGACATTTAGACTAAAAATTTGTCTGCAGCAATGATGTGTTACAGCTATGAAATGTCTACTTATTGAAAATTATAAAGAGATCAATTTTCAGATGAATAAATATATAAACACAAGGTTTATCCTCAGTTTGTATTCCAGGCAGAGCTACAGTTACTAACTTGCCATCTGGTGACATGGGAGCAGTGTTAAAACCAGCACCTTTGCATGGACAGTCACAGGTACTCAATTTTTATTTTCTTGTGGAAAGACCACTTTTCAGAATCAGTAGTAAGTCTGTGTAGTAGTTGAAAGCTATAATTTGCAAAGCTGGAATTAATTAGGGACTTTGATGATTGTAGAGTAGGTAAATATCCCAACTTCTGTCCGTGTTTTAGGTTGACAGATCTGATGCATTTGTAATCCATAGATAAAATAATCTGGTGTATAAAGGCAGCTGACAGCTTTCCTCTGCTGTGATAGACAGGTTCTTTTAACTGTAATATATTTTAATTATATAGTAATGCATAAATAAAGAAATCATGTGGGTTTTTTGTGTTTTGAACACAATAGCAATTGGGCAATTTTTTATAGATTTCTAATCTTAACAAGTTTTTAGATAAGATACTCAAGCAATTTACAAAGTGTAGGGAAACATCCAAGAATATATCAAAAAGCTATTAAAATGTACCTTTAGAAAGTAAGAAGATACTAAACTAAAGTAGAATTGACTCTTTATATGAACTGAATTCAGCTGTAGTCTTCAGATTTTATCTGAAATATATACGTTTAATAATTGCTCTAAGTCTAGTTCCACTCTAGGATCTATACTCTAATCCTGATAGTTTCATTCTAAAGAACCTCAAATCCCTCCTTTATTATTACCGTGATGAGCAGCAAATGTGGTTTTCATTCACCTTCTCTTGGCAAAGGAGACGTTTGAGGAGAAGAACCGGCTCTTGAAGGAGCGCCTGGACAGGATCTTCTGCGGCAACGAGCGCCGCTGCTCGCGGGCACCGGTGTACGGCCGGGACGTGCTGAGCCTTTGCTCCCTGGCTGGGGACACAAAGGCCTCCCAGCTGCCTTCCAGTGAGGGCAACAGCTGGAGGTGGGCTGGCTTTGTCAACTGCTGCCTTTCCACAAGTGCCTGCGGAGGCCCAAGTAACCCCTTGAGGGAAATGATCCTGGGCTTGGTTCAGCAACAGGAGTCTCTGAAGGATCTTGTTAACAGGTAATGTGTGACTCTGCCCTAACAAGCCTTTACACATCTAGTTGTTTTTAAAACACTTCTCAACAAGGCTTAAAACCTTATTTCTGTTGATGAGCTTATTTGGTTTAGATTGGTTTAATTAGCAGTAAATGATGTACAGCATGGAAGTAAAAATAAGTCACTTCCTTTTTCCTTTGGATCTTTATAAATCAATGTTTTCAGTGCCTCTTTCCTAATTTCAAGCCCAAGTTCATCTGACCATATTTAGCCTTACATTCTTATGCTTTTGGATTTACTTGAATAGCTACCACTCGGACTAACTAACCTAGTTAGTCACCCAGAAATACCACTAACTAAGAAGAGTTAAGACCCAGAGTTAGAGTTAAGAGGTGCAGGCAGAAGCTGGTTTAACTAAGACTGACTTTCCTTGCTGTGCCTATGATTATTGATGATCATTTTGTGTGTAGCTTTTTAAATCGCTGTTGCCTTGTTTTAATGCTTTTCACAGGGCTCTCTTCGTGTTGCCAGCTGCAGTTGCTGCTCCCCCATGTTTCTATGTAGCAAATCCTCCCCCTTCATACAGTCACAGACTGAAACTCCTTAAGCACAGCCTGAGGCAGAAGGCAGCTCCACACTTGCATCAGTTGCAACGGTTGACAACTCCTCACTTGCTGCAGTTCCCTGACCTCCGGCTGGTGCAGTATGACTCAGGTAAAGGACATTTGCTGACAAGATTTCAGTAATTTCCTCTGTCACATGGATGGAATTTCTATATAAAACCATTATTGGTTTTTCTGTTTGAATTATAGGAAAATTAGAAGCTCTTGCTGTCTTGCTTCAGAAGTTGAAATCTGAAGGGCGCCGTGTGCTGATTTTGTCACAGATGATTCTGATGCTGGACATACTGGAGTTGTTCCTGAATTTCCATTTCCTCACCTTTGTGAGGATTGATGAATATGCCAACCAGGAACAACGGCAGGTAAGTGTGCCCTACCAGCTACCCACTGGTACAGCAATATGTGCTGCCCAGGCTTTTATATACTACAGCAGAGAAAGAAAATTTGCCTCGTTTTGTATTCAGTTTGAAACACCTGACATGTTTTTATCCCTTTTTTTATTAGGCTATAGTGAATTTGGTTTGGTATTTTGTTTTGGTGTGCATTTTATTTAGTCCTTGCTTTTATTCTGTTTATGTAGGAGCTGATGAAAATTTTCAACAGAGACAAGCGCATTTTCTGTGCCATCCTCTCCTCTCACAGCCGTTCCACAGGAGTCAATCTTGTCGAGGCAGACACTGTTGTGTTCTATGACAATGATCTGAACCCAGTGATGGATGCAAAAGCTCAGGAATGGTGTGACAGAATTGGGAGATGTAAAGATATCCATATATACAGGTGATGGTGACAGTCAACATCTGCTCTTTAACATGTTTTGATGTGAGGTTAGTTCAGACAATGCTGCCCTGGATGATCTGGAATAAAGTGGAAACAGTGCTGAGAATCACTTACCTTCAATAAAAAAGATGCCAGGGTATCCTGTGAAAAAGTGGGGGGAGGGGGGGTTTAACACTAAATGTAGTAAATGAATAATACCTGCCTGGGTATTGTCTGTTAGTCTGCATGGAAATTTTTAGGGGTCCCTTTTCATTGTTGATTTCAGGGTTTGTTTGTTTTTTTTAATGACATAGATTATTAGAAGACAGCTCTAAAGTAAAGGTGGTAGTGTGTTTTTTTTCTGAGCCTGCACCATTACTAAAAAAACTCCCACATACTACCACAATTTAAACATTTAGTGGTATTCTCTAAGGACAGTTTGTTTTTTTCTTTCTGAAAGCTGGTTTGGAAATGACATACCAGATTTCTATGTTTTTTTCTTTTTTTTTTTTAGGCTTGTCAGTGGTAATTCTGTAGAAGAGAAACTTTTAAAAAATGGCACAAAGGACTTGATCAGAGAAGTAGCTGCTCAGGGAAATGACTATTCAATGGCCTTTTTAACACAGGTAAGTTAATATTCAGAATGCATTGAAACACCCATGTTGCAGTGTTTAATAAATTCAAGCATCTGTGTTGGAGTGTTTAATAGCAGTTTAGTAGAAATCTGTCTGGGCTAGAATTAATAAGGAAGCATATTGGATTTCATGATTGCTTGAACTCTCAGTGTTGGGGCCACATTCTTTCAAATATCGTCCATCTGTTTTGCTCTGTTATTTGCATAGTGATGCACAGACATTACCCATGACTTAATATATTGTGGTTTCTTCACCCTGCTGCAAAATTTTGCAGAGCTTGTAAGGGTGAAGGTCTCAACAGCTTTAAAAATGTGAAATAAGTTTGGATATTTAGATAGGCTCTGAATTGTTGCTCTGAAGATGCAAGAGACAGTGACTGTACTGGTGAAGCCAGGCTATCCTGGCTGGCACTCCTGATATAGAAAAAAAATAGTGTGCTCCCAAAAACTGAATGTATTTCTCTTTTTTCTTTCTATTTACCAAGCAAACAATTCAAGAATTGTTTGAGGTTCATTCTCCTATGGAGGATTCTGGATTTAGAGTGAAAGCAGAAGAATTTGTAGTACTTTCTCAAGAGCCGTCTCCAGCAGAAAATATTTCACCTAAAGTTGCAAGACCATTTATAGAGGTAATGATTAACACACACATTAAAAATGCAGCTGTGCAACATTAGTATTAAGCAACTGACTAATCCCATTTTATTTGGGTAAATTCTGTCAGTCTCTTTTTCTTGTAGTTTTATGCTCTTTTGTCATTTGTGACAAAACTTCCAAAAGCCCAAAGCTGAGTTTTATAATTTCTGGGACTGTTTCTCTTGCTGCAGCAGAGACTTACTCCAGAAATTTGTGTTGCATTTCAGTGAGCTCCTTATGGAGTTCCTTTCCATTGTTTTGAAGTCTTAATTATTTTTAAAATATATCTCTCTGAAAGGCCCTCAACAGCATTGAACGAGAGGATGAGGAATCAAATGATCACATACAAGAAATAGGATCTGAGTCAAGCATTGAACCTTTAATCTCAGAGCTGTGTGAGACAAAATACAATGAAGAGCCCTCGCAGCTGCAGGAGTTAGTTGCTGTTGTGGATCAGGTACCGTGACTTCCCTTGAATAGCTGGCTGAAAAGTAATGTTTAGTTCAAATGTTTCAATTTCTTTGCCGTCTGACCTTAAAGCAACTTTGTTGTTTCTCCCATTAAATGGAAGGGAGATCTCCCGCTAATTTAAAATGTTATGAAGAGTTTGAAGGAGGGCTTTGATACTTCATGTAATGTTTCTTTTATTATCCTCAAAGTAACATTTTTTCCCTTTGACACTTCCCTCAGCTGACTCCAATTGAGAAGTATGCTTTGAATTATCTGGAGCTCTTCCACGGTTCAGTTGATGACAATGAGCCACGGTTGAGTGAGGTAAAACAAATCTTTCTTTGCCATGTTATTCTGTCACAGAACAACATTTATTATATTTTCAATATGAAATGGAAGTTTCTCCAATGGTGTGGAATATATTGTTGGCACTTCTGTGATCTTTTCTTGCTATACATTATGAGCAGCACTATGTCTTACAGAGAGCTCATTATTTTGGGATTCTGTGGTTTAAGCAGGTGTCAGTTCTTAATTTCTTTTTTATAAAATGGGAATTGCTTTCAGCCCGGCTCAGCAAATATTTGTTGTACTCCATTGACAGCAGGGGAAAAAATTTCATTAATTTTAGTGAGCCTCTGTTCTGGTTGTCTTCATTGTTTAACTGAAGTTCTTTGATTGCTTTATACTGATGATCTTAAAACCCTCCACAAAGACTAATAAATATCTTCTAAATGGTTGTGAAAGTATCTGTTAAGAAATTGCTATAAGATTTCTGTGTCTGAAAATGTCAAAGTTCAAGGCATTTATCCATAAAATTACTAATTGATGACTTCTAATCCAGTGTCTGTTACTGTATAAAGTTTCTAAGCAGTCTGACTTTAATCTAGATGGAACTGAAAACTGCAAAGAAAGCCTGGGAAGTCCAGCATATGAAGGAGTTAAAGGAAAGAGAGCAAAAAATGCTTTGGGAGGATGAAGAGGAGCTTCTAACCTACACTCGGGAGGATGCATACAACAAAGTAATTGCTGATTAGTCTTGTTTTTTCTAAATAGTTATTTCTTAACAGTTAGTCTGAGAATACCTTTACCCTTCAGGTTTCAGTTGGATCATTTGAATTATGTTCTCTTTTTGCTGTGTAGGAATATGTCTATGAAGGTCCAGATGGACAAACTGAAATTATGCCAGTAAGTAAAAGTAACACCAGGCAGCCTAAATGGGCTTTTTATTTTATGAAACATAAAGATCAGTAGAGAGTTAACATTGCAGTAATTACAAATTTTATTCTGTGCAGCTCTGGACTCCTCCTACTCCACCTCAGGATGATAATGATATCTACATAGATTCTGTTATGTGCCTGATGTATGATACCACCCCTATTCCAGAGTCAAAATTGCCTCCAGTGTATGTCAGGAAGGAGCGTAAACGACACAAAACAGATCCCTCTGGTGAGTGTGTGCTCAAAACTGTTCTGGGATTTATTGCTGAAAGTGTAAAAAACCAGTGGGGTTTTCATGCCTCCTATATATTCAGAATGCATTGAAACACCCATGTTGCAGTGCTTAACAAATTCAAGCATCTGTGTTGGAGTCTGGTCCAGTAAAGATGAAATTTGCATGTTTGAAGGGATGGAAATTCTTGTCCCACCATGGCCTTGAAGTAGTGGAATGACTGGAAGCCCAGTTCTTATGGTGTGTCTTCTCTTTAGACATAAGAGGTTCTTGAAAGGACAGTTTTAGAGAGCAGACATTTTACTTTGTCAGCTAGAACAGAACTCATCATACTTTATCACAGGCTCTGTTTAGTTCCTGCTGTGCTTTTCAGAGGCAGTGGGGAATACTCTGTACATGTATGAGCATTTTGCAGCTGTAGGCAGAGGAACCAAAGAATGACAGTATCTGCCAACAATGTGTTTATGTTTTGTCTTAGCAGCAGGTAGAAAGAAGAAGCAACGTCATGGGGAGACAGTTATCCCACCTCGTTCACTCTTCGATCGAGCAACTCCAGGAATGTTGAAAATGCGCCGGGAGGGCAAAGAGCAAAAGAAGAACATCTTGTTGAAACAACAGACACAGTTTGCAAAGCCTTTGCCAACTCTTGTCAAACCAGCTACTGAGGCTGGGCAGGATAATCCAGAGTGGTTGATCAGTGAAGACTGGGCACTTCTGCAGGTCAGATGACACCTGCAGCTTCTGCTGTCATTATGTTTTTATTCCTGCACTTTATCTCTTCAAGGTTATTTCTAATTCTTAGTGGCAATTTGCTGTCATAACTTGGAACAGCTTGCCTGTCATTTGTGCTTCTCTAAGGAGAAATTAAAGGCTAAAGTACAAAATGTATGATTAAGCCCACTTACTATTATTCAGATTAGTTGTGCTGGCTGGACACTGGATAATGCAGCTAAGGTTCTTCCCACATTTATGGGGAGAGCAGCATTTAAATAACAGCTCTCTGTCCCTCTCATACCAATCTCCAACTGTTTCCCTGCACATCAGTCAGCATTAAGGCACCTTATGCCTGTTTATTCTCTGTGACTGTAGCTGATCACAGAGCCTTAGCCCTGAGCTGTCCCACTGTGGTAACGGTGTGTGCGCACTCGCAGGCGAGGGAAGGTTTGGAAGATGGCAATGATGTCTCCTGATGCATTTGTACCTTTCTGTGTTGCAGGCAGTGAAGCAGCTGCTGGAGCTTCCTTTAAACCTTGCTGTTGTGTCGCCAGCACACACTCCCAACTGGGACCTGGTCAGTGATGTTGTTAACTCCTGCAGCAGAGTCTATCGCTCGCCCAAGCAGTGCCGCAACCGATACGAGAATGTCATAATCCCAAGGGAGGAAGGAAAGGTGAGCTCACCTGGAATGATGCGTCTTTTTTTTACCTTCAGTTGTAGAGTTTTTTTTCCCTTAACTCCATAAACACTTGTTTTTTGTTAAACGTTTCAACAGTGTAAATAAATAACTTTTAAAAGATCTTTTTAAATTATTCTCATCAGGATTTCCACTTATTTTATGTGATTTCTTTGAAAAGAAAAAGCACCTGAACAAAATCTTCCACAAAAGATCATCTAACTTTCCTTCTTATTTTACAGCTAATGTACGAAGCTAATCCTAAAAAGAAGACAAAAAGTATTTATAAGGTGTGCATTGGTATTCTTTCAAAATCAAATCTAGACACTGTGGTATTTAGCAGCAATGGAGGTGGGCAGATAATTCATATGAGATCCATGTTGAGTGTTACTTGAGTTCTGAAACATCAATTAAAATTCCAAATTTATTTTTCCTTTCTTTGTTGATACAGTGGATTGACACCAGACTTCAGCTTTTGGATTTGATAGATAAATTTTAGACCATGCAAGAAGTTTGTGATTTCACTTAAACTGTAGTTGGCATTTTTCCACCATGTATCTTATCTTGATGGTATTTAAGATCTGTAAGAATGAACTTCATGCTAGAGTCTAAGTGGATTACAAATACATAGTGAATTTGATGCCTGAAACACGTTTTAGTAAATGAGGATGATAGGACGCTACAGAAACAAAACCAAATTCCATGACTGTGAACACCTTCTTCCAAACCACACAGCAATTTAGTGACAGAGTTGGGTGGAGAATCCAGAACTTCTGGCTGTAGTCCCATTCTCTGACTGCTAAGGAGGTTTGTCCCTGACTGGCAGTTTCTGCTTAGGAGAAGCCAAATGTTAGACTGGCATGGTGTGTGGATGTTAACCTAGCTTTGTTGGGAGAGCAGTGCAGTGATGGTTTTGTTTTATTACCTTACGTGTGCGCTATGCATAACTATAACTAATGGGCTCTTGGTTTGGGTAATGAATTAAACTTGCAAAATCTAAACTAAAGCAAAGATTCTTTCTCAAATTAGAGTTTGCCATTTTGTATGTCCCCAAGTGCTGATGCCAGTGTGACCGTGAGAACTGCTCCTTATTTTGCTCTTTCTTTATATATTTCCCATAGAGTTTTGTGTGACAGTAAGTTATCAGTGACACGAGGCAGGAACCAGTCTGTGATAGATATGTTGGAGAGTGTTTTTAAATAATCTACGAGCGCGCCTTGTGTTTAAACATAGACAAAATGCCCTGTTGGGTGAGTTTGCAATTGAAAGTTGGTTTGTTTTCTTTTTTTAGACTAAAAACAGTCGCCCACTTCGTACCAATCAGATCTATGCTCAAGATGAGGGTGCAACCCACACACAGCTTTATACTAATCATTTTGAGATGATGAAAATGATTGCAGGGAAAAGAAGTCCACCAATCAAACCTCTGTAAGTTTACCTGGGATCATTTGATTTCCTGTAACCACAGATCTCCTGGAAACTGTGTTTTGAATGGCTCTCAAAACTCAGAGTTATTCTGCACTCTGTTTCTCTGTTGTTGATCTCTGTGTTCTCTGTTATTGGAAACACCTCCATATTTCATGTGTTTGGGTCTCACTGCAGGAATTTGCTCTTTGTCATTAAGAGCAGAGCTGCATTCAGTTGGGGTTTTTAAAATCTACTTTATATTTGTCCATTTGTCTGAATTGTAGACAATTTGCTGTCTATGCTGTTTAGTAGTACATTCTTTCCTATGTATCTTCCTGCAGTTTTTCTTTATTTATTTAGTATTTACTCTGAGTCTTTCTTAAATGTCTGTCTGTATTCAGGCTCCAGTACTGGCTGGAATATCTTGGAAACTTCACCAAATGCTTAAAATATGTGAAGTGAAATATTGTTTTTAAGGTTTTTCTGTCTCCAGTAATACAGTTTTTCTCAATTTCAGACTTGGCATGAATCCTTTCCAGAAGAATCCAAAGCATGCATCGGTGCTTGCAGAAAGGTGAGCACTCCCTGTCCTGAAGGAGTTATAAATTGTATGAAAGTGCTCTTTTATATTTTATTTTTTTTTTTTTTTTTAGGTTTCAGTTATTTCTAAATATTGTGTGTTTTGTCTTATTATTGTTTATAGTGGAATCAACTATGATAAGCCCCTCCCTCCAATTCAAGTTGCGTCCCTCCGAGCAGAACGCATTGCCAAAGAGAAAAAGGTACGGTCCCATCTCTGCTGCACAAATGACTGTGGTAATTAAAAAATCAGGCAACAGATGAGGTACGAGCAAAGCTTCCTCCTGGGAGAAGTTTGGCAGTACAGTGGGTGTTATGAGCAGCTGCACGTTGTTTATGTACAGGGGTTTAGATAACCAAGGCCCAAAGGGGGCCTTTCCTTGTGCCTCTTGTCACTCTCAGACCCCTTAAACAATGAGGAGCATATTTTTGCAAAAGATGCTAAAACGTTTAAAAATGTTGTTTAATTTTTGACTATTCTGTACCCTCCTTTCTTATATTATTCAGAAAGAACTACTTGTCCTTGCTTGTGAATGATAAGTTTCTTGTTGTGCTATGCTTTAAGCCATAAAACCATGAGTACATCTTGTAGTTTAAAATGAGTCAGGCTCTGTAACTTGGACTTGAAAAGTGAGGCCAGCTTTGTGGACTGTCTCTGGTTAGAACTAAAGAGGTTCTGTGGATAGAAATAAAGAGGTTTTGTCTTGTTGTTTTGTTTTGTTTAAAAAAAACCACATCTTGCTTGTTCTATGCTTGAAGACTGAAGGTGCCCCTTGCCTTGCAGGCGCTGGCAGAGCAGCAGAGGGCCCAGCAGCAGACGGGCCCCCAGCCCCAGCAGCCCCAGGCGGGCCAGCAGCCCCCCCAGCAGCCCCCCGTGCAGCAGGCCCAGGCCCAGCCACAGGCACAGGCACAAGCACAGGTAGTTCAGCAGCCACAGGCAGTGGTGCAGACTGCAGTCACTACTGTGGCCAACACAGCAGTATTGGTAAGAAAGGGAGAGCTCGGTGCCTCTGATGTAGTAACTTCAGTTCTTCTGTGTGTGCTGTATTTGTGTCGTGTTTTCTCTGGAAAGAATTTTAGGTCAGTATAGTGGGATCAAAGATATTTTTTTCTTGTTTGCTTTCCCTGGTTATGCTGGGTATCTTCTGGTACCCTGATTTATTAAGACTATTTGTACCATTGTAGCAACAGATCTTGGCATTCTCAAGTGGAAAAACACCATGCAAAGATGGTTTTTCTTTTTTCACTTTAGACTTTCATTTAGTGAAGTCTGAGTGAATAGATATACATGGTCAACAAGAAGTATTTGTACAGAGAACTGCAAAATACAGAGAATAAAGGAGAATGTAGCTGTAAGAATAACTCAGTTAAAGAGCTTAGAAGCCAAAGATTCATTAACCTTTGCAAGGCAAGTGAAATGATGCATCCTACAGGAAACAACATGGAGCTTTTACTGCGAATTTGTGCAAAGTTTTCATGTCTTCCCTAAATCTAGAGTCTGAATGAGTCTGATGACTGGTCTGTGGCTTTTGCATTTAGAGCCAATCCAGTTTGCATAGTAATGTGTGCAGGCAGTGGTGGATTTATTTTGCTTGCTGCAGAGCAGGAGTACCACAGCTTTTGCAGAAAGACTCAGAGGATGTGTTCTGGCCCACAAGCATTGCTGTGTATGTAGTGCTCAGTGATGTTCCTGTGTGGGTGGTTGTCCAAGGAACTGCTCCCTTCCTCTGCTAACAGGGATGTCCAGTGACCAGGGTTTACCACACACTTGGCTGGTCTACAGTTGCTCATTAGTAAGGCAGAATCCTGATTTATGTATGCATTGGTTGCTGTGATCTGTAGAGTCAATGAACAACTGCAGAAATCTTTGTGTGTTCCATTGAATTTTTGTTATTTTGTCACTTCTGGAATACAGCACTGTGTTAAGCAATGCTCAGTTTTCTTTTATTGTTTTTCTGAACTGTTACCTTAATTGTCTTCTAATTAGGCAGGCACCATCAAGACAGCAGTGACGGGGACGAGCATCCAGACTGGTAAGGAGACTTTGTAATTGGGCATAGGAGGTGATGGGACGTTGGGATTTTCACTTTCAGAATCTCACATTAATCCTGGCTTGCTTTCAGCTACAGTGAGTGGAAATGTAATTGTAAACACTGTTGCTGGGGTCCCTGCTGCCACCTTCCAGCCCATCAATAAACGTCTGGCCTCCCCTGTTATACCTGGGACGCTGACTGTGAGTAGATCCTGTCATTAGTTGTGTCCCTGCATTTTTATTAGCATAGCTTTAGCTTTCCATGTTGTCAGAAGTTCTGTTTCTTGCAAATGCAAGTGCATCTTGGGGTTCTTTATCAAGCCTCTCTCTCTTACCAAAACATCAGAACACACTGGAATGATTTATCAGAAAAAAATGTATAATACTGTTAAAAATAGTTTATGGGGAAGTGCTGCTATGTCATTAACATTTTCAGCCTGTAACTGTTTTGTGCTTTATTAATTATGATCTTTATTGTTATGTTAATGGTTTAAGACTATGGAAGATAAAGCAAAATATTGAAAGGTACTAAAATCAAATGTCTGTAATGGGGTGAAGAATTTGATGATCAGACTGATGGAAAAAGATTTAACCACATGCTGATTTTAAGATTCATCTAAACAGATGTGTTAGACAGATTTGGGGCTTTTGTCCTTTTGCATTTTTCATGCTTGTTTTTAAAATTGCCTAGAAGGGAATTAATAAAATTCCAGCAGGGAAGTGCGAGGCGTGGGAAGGGAGCAGTGATGGCTGTGTTCCCTTGCAGACCTCGGGAGGCACGGCCACTGCCCAGGTGGTTCACAGCCAGCCCCGAGCGGCCGCGGCGCCGGCGGCGTCCACCGAGCTGGTGACCATCGCCTCCACGCAGGGCGTGCGCGCCGTGACTTCGGTGACGGCTTCCGCCGTGGTCACCACCAACCTCACGCCTGTGCAGACCCAGACAAGGTCTTTGGTGACCCAGGTCACACCAGGTAATGATCCTGCCTTCAGGGACTTTTTCCAGTAGTGCACAAAGGGCCCCGGAATTCCTGTTGATGCACCACCACAGCCCCACGATGTTGGAAGTCTAGGGTGCAATTAAACAGGGCTATGATTTTTAACTTGCTTTGTTGTTGGTGCTCAGATGACATTTATCTCCAGTATTTCTGGATAAAGTATGGCAATAGAGAGCTTGGCCCCTAAGCATTGCAATTTAAAAATAATATTAACAATCTAACAGTAAAATATTAGAATTTACTGTCTTGACTAAAAAGCATTGTGAAGAAAGGCTCTTGTATTTTATGATCTACTCTGCTTTTACATCATGCTCATGATAATGTGTTCTTACATGAAGTAAATCCACAAAGTGTACTGGAGCAGAAAAATAAGCATTTAACAGCTCCACTTCTCAGGTGAAATTCATGAGTTAAATTGAATGTTGAAAAGTGTTTGTCATAACATTTTGTTTTTTCTTTATTCACAGCTACACCAACAGTCCAGCTGTCGGGCAAAACCATCACCCCTGCACACTTCCAGCTTCTGAGGCAACAACAGCAGCAGGCTGCTCAGGTGCAGGTCCCACAGATCCAGGCTCAGGCACAAGCCCAGTCTCCAGCTCAAATAAAAACTGTAGGGAAATTGTCACAGGTGAGGAACTGCTCATGAAATAATGTAGCACATTGCTCTCATTGCTGTAAGCTTCCTTAGCAGTGTGTGTTGTGTCCTGTTTTCTTGGGCTACAGTGAGATGTATTTCCCTCTTCAATTTCATCCTACTAAAATTTCATGCAGGCAGTGAGTCTGACAGCACTTTAAATAGCAGAGTAGGGTAGGATGGAAAGCACTTACTGCTGCTCGCTGGAAGCCATTGTGTAAAAGAGTTACATTTTAGATACTTGATCTTAGCTCTAGTCTGGCACAGAATGTTTCTCCTTTTAAGCTTTGGATGCAATCTCCATTTTTCTCCTGTAATTTAAACCATTGGGAGTGATGGAGATGTTTGATTTTTGCAGGAGCAGCTGATCAAGTTGCAGAAGCAGAAGCTGCAGCTCCCCCAGCAGCAGGCAGCGCAGCAGACACAGCAAGGGGCACAGCAGCAAACAGCACAAGTGCAAGTGCAGCAGCAGCAGCAAACGCAGCAGCTCACTGCTGTGACAGCCCCTCGTCCTGGCGCAGTCCTCACGGGCACTACGGTCACCAACCTGCAAGTGGCACGCCTGGTGAGTTGGCTTTGACTTGGCAAAAACAGTCTCAGACATCTCACTGTTGGCTGGTTTAAATTAACTGCTCATTCACGCTCACAAGTGTCCTTTGCATTGCTCTGGCAGTTCAAAAGGGGCAGCTATAACATAAATAACTTCACATTGTACTTACCCATTGATACCATCTCTGAATTGTGTCACTGTACAGAAGCCATTACATTTACAAAAATTTACAGCTATCACTTTATAATCACCTGTTATATGCAGCAAATCTTTCTGTGCTGGTACAATAATCTTCATTCCTTACTGCTTAGACTCGTGTTCCTGCTTCCCAGCTCCAAGCACAAGGACAGATCCAGGCCCAGACTCCACAAGCAGCACAGGTTGCTCTGGCAAAGCCTCCAGTGGTGTCTGTTCCAGCTGCTGTTGTGTCATCTGCAGGAGTCACCACACTCCCTGTGACTGTGGCAGGCATTAGTGTTGCCATTGGGCAGCCACAGAAAGCAGCAGGTATGTGAATGCAAGTTGGAAATAGGAAGAACTGTATTTCATAGCAGTCTCCTATAGCATAGACAATTTTTTTCTTGTAGGAAGAATGATGTTGGAACAAAAAATTAGCTTACTCATGCCCTTAGATAAGAAATTTTCTCTAATGTCACAATCATGTCTTATTCCCATTAAAATCAGTGGGTTGTTAGTGCTCAAAGCTGTGCAAATGTGTAAGTCTGTTAAAGCAGAATCTGTGTGTGCAAGCTGTGATTACTGGGACAAAGCAATAAACTGAAGACTCTTACAGTTCTAATTATTTCTGTAATTTTCAGGAGGCCAGACAGTAGTTGCACAGCCACTGCATGTCCAGCAGCTGCTGAAACTCAAGCACCACCAAGCAGCACAGCAGCAGAAAGCCATCCAGCCCCAGGTTGCACAGGGACAGGCTACTGTGCAGCAAAAGGTACCATTGTCTGCTCTGCCATTAACTTGTGCAGTGGTTCTGGATGACCAGGACACCCCTAGAGAGTCAGTCAGGATTTCTAGGTGTGAATCTTAGATATATCTAGAGAGAACAGGTTCTCACGTGCTTCATTTTTCCTGTAAAGTGGTTGATTGGTAGTTTTTAGTAAGTGTATTGTTGTGTGAGTGTTGTGTGTAAGAGAGAAACTTTTCATTAAACGCTTTAATTCTGAATACTTGTGTAAATGCATGAAGGCTTTCATCTAGTGCTCATTTTTTTTATTGCTAATCTTGGGAGAATTTTTTTCAATAATTAAATGTATTTAATCTTTTTTTCCCCCACATACCTATTCTTTAAAATACACTTACCTTTTGTAGTCATTGATGCCTTTTTTTCTCTTGTGCAGATAAATGCTCAACAGGTTACGGTCCAGACCCAACAGCAGACTTCACAGCAGCAAAAAGTAACTTATGCTACACAGCCTGCCATTAAAACACAGTTCTTAACAACTCCAATTTCCCAAACCCAGAAACCAGGTGGAACCCAGCAAGTGCAGGCCCAGATTCAGGTACAGGTAACACAGGTTTACACCCTTAAACTGTACTGGGACTGGAGAATTGTAAAGACAACAGGTGAGGTAGAACTCAGCACCCACTCATTTTAATTCTAGTCACACATTCATTTAAATTGATTTTTTAATAAAATTCACTGGTGCTGCATATGTGGCCTTGCAGCAAGTCAGAGCAATTGTGAGCTGCAAGTTTGCCTTTCCTCTTTGAACTAAAATAATTGAGTTACTCCTTTTTATTAGGCAAGGGATTCCATACTGTGTTTACTAAGGAAAATTCAGCCAGAGTTTTTCCTGTTTCTGGTGCTGCCTCACAGTTAATCTCTGGTAGCCTAGAGTAGGTGACAACTCACATACTTTCTTTTCTGCATAACTGTATCAGCCTAACCAAGGAAAAAGAAGGGGGTTAGGAATTGGAAGCCTTACTCTATAAAAAGTATATCCCAGATAATGGAACCTGTTAGAACTCATGTGTTTCCTTAGTTTTCTAGGTAGTCGGGAGGAAATGACTCTGTTGTAGTTAAAAGTGAAAATATTTCTCTTCCTCCCCTAGCTAAGTTCTTTTCACGGACCTAAAATGTTTCATAAACATTCAACCTCACTGAAAATGCCAAGCTGCAACTTACCATTAACAGGCCTTGGTGTTTTGCTGCTATCAGCAGCTTTTTATTTTGATCCAATCTTTCTTTATTTTATATCACCCCAGGTTGCGAAACTCCCACAAGTGGTCCAGCAACAAGCTACTGTTGCCAACATTCAGCAGATGGTTTCAGTTTCCCAACAGGTAGGTTTTGCTCTTGTCAAATATAGCACTGCAAACATGATCTTCAGAAAAGCTCATTTTTTTGGGATGTGTGTATTTTTCATGTTATGTGTAGCATAGATAGTATTTTTGAAGGATACAGCAAATCCCTTTCTATAAAAATAAGTCTTGAATACTGAATCAGCTGAGGTATATTCTCTGGTCTAAAACTTTCATAGATGTAGCAATGTTTGTTCATCACTGTGGATAAGCTGAAAAACAGATTTTTAAAGGTGTTTTCTAGAGCTGAAAGGCTGTTTAAAAATTGGTTTCTGGTGATGTATAGTCAATATAGCAAATAATTAAACTAATGAGCACCATCTGAGCTTTTTCCACAAAAAATTAGGACAAATTGAAGGTTACAAGTTGTTTTGTTTCAGTTCATTGAGCTGTGCCAAGTGCTGTGTGAAAGGCAGAACGGTGTGGTACCTGTTCCAGATGTGTGCTGGTAACAGACAGGGCTCAGGCAGGAGAAGCTCAGGTGGTTTGGTTCCCCTCCCCTAACGACCATGCAGTTTAGAATTGTTCAGAACAATTGTTCAGAACAATGTCATCCAGATCATTAGCAACAGGCCTACCTTAGGCAGTTGATTGGCAGGAGTGATTTAGCTTTGGAGGGTGGATGAAGTTCCTGCCTTTGGTGCACAAAAGTCTGGGCCAGTTGGCTCTTAACCTGCCACAGTTCACAGTGCAGAGTTTTACTGCAGAATAAAATCTGTGACTCTTTATCTCAAAATGGTGATAAAGTGGTGTAAGCTGTCTGATAACCACCTCAGATGTGAATGCTTCAAGGGCAAAGTACACAGCAGGAAGTAGAAACCTCATCAGTCAACACATCAGTTGCCCTCTGTAGTCAGGAAGAGCTGCTAGATCATTTTCAAAAGTCATCAATGGTGGCATAAAGACAAATAGTTTCCCTCCCATGCACACCAGTGACTACAGTGGCAGTAGGTTTAGGCCATAAGTATTTTTTAAACTATGGTCTTTATGTGTATGTGGCAATCTTTTTATCTGCATTTTTAGTGCTTCCCGCTGGAATCCTTTTGGAGCATTCAAGTGTTAATTTCTCCTCTGGAGAAGTCCTTGTAGCTTTGTTTGGTTTCTGCATCTGACAAAGACAGCTGAAGCTGCTCAGTTTTCATTACCTTGTCCTCTGAACAAGGAGATGTTGATTTTTTTTTTTCTCCCTTGCTCTGGGTAGAGCTATGAAAATTAAATGTCTGGATGGAGTCAAACTATTCTGCCATAAATTTGCAATAGAGTGGCAGCTGTAGTCTGAAAGGGAAATGGCAGAGACTGGTGGGAAGCCTCAGTGGCTGTATTTATTGTCACAATATGGGTGCAGAGGCAGCATTTTAACCTCTTTGGTCTTCTGGCTGTCCCTCTGTTCTTTTCCCTGCTCCTTCACTTCTGCAGTGCAGGAATTTTCCTGTATATCTGGTAGGGTTTCTATGCCTTTCATCTGCCTTCTGAAAGTATCTGAGGACATGTCCTTGGATTTGCACTGCAGAGACCCGAGTTACAGGGACTTTGGCTCTTAGTTCTGATTTATAAGGCTCTAGAAAATGTGACAGAGTGGTGTTTCTCAGTGAAACCACAGAGCCTCTGTTCCCAGAATCATTGTCCGAGTTGTTTGTCAGTTAAGAGAGCAAATACCTAAGGAAGCAGAATTCCTTCCGTAGAGCAGAAATGTAAGGATTGCTCAGTTTAATGCCAAACCATTTAGTAATTGCCTTTTCCTCCTGATGTGCAGGTACAAGCTCAGCCCCAGACTGTGACCCTTTCTCAGACGACAGCAGGTCAACAGCAGGTTCAGGTGATCCCTGCAACCACTGCTACTGCTCAGGTCGTGCAGCAGAAACTGATCCAGCAGCAGGTGGTGACCACAGCATCTCCCCAGGTTCAGGCTCCAGGTGTACAGAACCCAGCCCAGACACCAGCAACACCTGAGGCCCAGAGTCAGCAAGCAAAAGTACAGATGAGGACACCGACTGTCAGATTAAAGGCACCTACTAAACCAAGTTGAACTATTGCAGTAACAGAGAAACACAGTGTTTTGTGTTTGCTGAGACAAGTGAGAAGCTACTCCAAACATCCAAATGAAGACAAAACACCTCTATTTTTATTTTTTTTTTGTAGCAGAAGGTTTCTTGCTGGTGAACATTTAAACATGAAAACTCACGTGTAACTTCAGTGTATTAGCAACTGTTTAGCACTCAAACTCTGTACAAGATGCATTCTGCCTGTGTTCTCTGTGCTCATTTAAACCACATAAAGCAAGCATTACTTAGGTTGAAATTCTGCCCAGCTTCTCAAAAGTGAAATGGTGATCTGCCATAAATGTCAGTAAAATCCATCTGTGTTAGAACACCACACCTGCCTGTGGGCATGTGCAGCTCCTTGCTGTAGTTCAGTGTGTGCTCAGTACCCACAGTGAAGCCACACAAAGATCCAGGTGTAGTTGATACAGCACAGTATTTTCCATCTGTACAAAAGCTCTGTGTTGTTCTTCCCTGTGGTAAACACCCCTGGAAGATCTAACACAGGCTTGAAGTGCTGCCTGCAAAGTTTAGCCAATAAATGTGAAAACCTGTAAGTATATGTAATTAAAAAGGAAAAAAAAAAAGTTTCATTCTCCATTTTTGTAAGTCTTTTAAAATGTTTGTTAGTAGTTTTTGTGTACAGTTTACTGAATCACTCAACCTGTGTGCTCATTCTCGTATTTCACTTTAAAATAATGGATATTTTAGGCATGAGCTGAGTAAATACTGTGTTGATAGTAAATGTGTATTAAAGTGTAGCCCATTTTTTTTTGTAAAAGAATTGTTTAGTAGATACAGCTAAACAGATGATCCATAGCTGTTTCTCATGGGACTTTTGTCACAAAAAATCTCCAGCTGATAAAATCTAATCTCTCTGTTTCATTCTGCTCTTGCAACATGTTTAAATGTTCAGTACTTTTTACACGGCTTTCAGCTTGGGGGGTGGGGGGCTGGGGGAAGGGGAGAATAGTGAAATTAAATCTAAGACTTAATTCTTCAACTGTGTAAAGAGTAAGATCTAACTTTTGTACTATTCTTTTACTAAAGCTAACAATGAATGTATCTTCAGGTGGGTATTTTGGATGTGAATAGAGCGTGGCCTCTTCCTCCAAATCAGTTTGCCTTATTGTTATGGAGAAAAAAAAAAAGCAAAAAGCTGCATAGAACTGTGGGGGGTTTCTTTACTTTTCTTGCATACAATGAATAACAGAATTTGCAAACAGCACTGAGTGAGGAATCAAAAAACCCATGGTGGCTTGAAGGGATTTATTTTACTTTGGCCATAAAACTGCACAATGTGTAAAATCCAGACAAAATTACAACATTCCTTTTCTGAGATGGTTTTAAAATTATGTTTTCATTGTTTACTCTTTTAGGAAAGGAGCCTATTTAAGGGCAAGGAAAGCATATATTTTGTTTTTACCTCTGTATGTCCACACTTGTTGGTTCCTGGCAATCCACATGGCTTAAACAAGAAAGCATTCTCAGCCAGCTCCTCTGTGTTAGTTGGGATAGATACAGCCAGTTCTGTTCAGATCACAAATGCAAACATTGGCTCAGGCAGCGTTCCTGATTTTTTTATTTTATACCCCTTTTGTCCTGCATACTTTTTTTTTTTTTTTTCAGACCCTCAGGTGTACAAACACAAGGGCATTTTTTTTTAAACTGTTTTTGCATGCAGTAGTGTTCCCCTGACCCTGCTAACCCCTGGCATGTGCCATCCCCTAATCTTCACTGCCAGCCAGGGAGCTGGCACTGCTGACAGCAGAGTAGTTTAAAATGCAAAGCAGATGCAGTGGTAATGGATAGTGACACTGTGTACAGTATAGCCTTGCTCATCCAAAAACATTGCTTAGGTAGCCCCAGTTTTACTTTTAAGTGTTTAGCTTTTATGATGTGCATGAAGGTCGGGGTGGGGGGGAACACTTCCAGCAGTGGGAGAGCTGTTGGCTACGTCGTTGTGCTGGTCTGATTTGGTGTCTAAAGAGGCGATTGTTTCTTGTTTAGGTCAGTTGATGAAGTTAAAAAGTCACCTTTTTTTTTTTTTTTTTTCCTTCTAATTATTTTTTTTTCTCTTCCTCTCGATGTGTCTTTCTCCCGGGAGTGTGTTAGGAAGTCAGCCTGTACATAAGTGATGAACATTTGTACTCGACCCAGTAGGATGATAAGGAATAGTGCTGTATCCTACCTGAAGGTGTAATAAAGTGTACATTTTTATACCGCTGCCTCGCCCTGCCTTCTGTACGGGGGTGTTACCGGGAGGGGCGGTGTGGGCGGCGGGACGGATCCCGATCCCGATCCGGGTGGCGATCCCCGCCCCGCTGCCGGCCCCGCCTGCGGGCGGAGCGGCCGCGGCTCCTCCTCCATCCTCCCATGCGGGCATGGCGCGGGAGGCCGCGCTCGCCGCCTGCCTGGAGGCCGTGCTGGGCAGCCGCTCCAGCGCCAACCGCGTCTTCGAGCTCCTGGAGCCGCTGGCGGTGCGGGCCGGGCCGGGCCGGGCCGGGGGAGCGGGCTGAGGGAGGGCAGCGCGGCCGGGCCGCCGCTCTGACACGCTGTTCCCCAGGGCCAGGAGGAGCCGGAGGACATCGTGAGCGCCGCCAGGACCTGCAGCCGGCTGTTCGGGGCGCTGCTGGAGCGGCGGGAGCTGTTCGTGGGGCCGCTGCCCGACCAGGACGCCGCTCTGGGCGGTGAGCACGGAGCGGGGCCCGCGGCGCTGCCCGGGACAGGCGCGGCCCTGCCCGAGCCCAGCCTGTGTGTGTCTGTCTGTCCCTCACAGAGAGCTACAGCGCCGAGGACAAGTACAGGATATGGATGAGGCACCGCTACAGGGACTGCGTGGGCTGCCTGGGCGAGCTCCTGGGGCACGACGCCTTCCAGGTCAAGGTGGGTCCTGAGCCCGCTGCTGGCCCACGGGGCCTTCACGGGGCTCCCGTGGGGCTCTCGCCCGGCATCTCAGTGTGGGAGGGCAGGCAGTGCTGTAAGACAACACTGATGCTCTGCTCACCAGCAGCGAGCATGCAGCCTTCTCAGGAAATAATATATTATTCTTCCGTTGAGTTTGATCCCTGGTGTTCTTGTTTAGGTGGTTTTTTTTTTTTTTTTTTTTTTTTTTTTTTTTTTTGTGTGTGATGTTGCTTTCTTTTTTTTCTTAAAGGAGTTGGCACTCTGCACGCTCATGAAGTTTGTGGAATTGGAGGCACAGTATCCATTGATCAAAATAGAGTGGAAGGGAACTTTAACGTTTCCATGTGACCTTCTTAAGGTAAGCTGCAGAACTGAGAAGTCCCTCTTGTCAGTGACCTGATGGCACACGAATTCATGTGCCCTCAGCCTCTCACTGTTCTCCAGTGCTGTGAGAGACTGACTCATTGCTTTCCAAACCCTTTGTTAGGTGGTTGTTGATGGTTTGCTTCCCACCACCGAGGACGCCTCACTGCTGATCTCCCGCTTTCAGGAGTACCTGGAGTACGACGACGTGCGGTACTTTGTCATGAAGGCTGTCACTGCCAGCATCGGGCAGGTCATGCAGAAGACAAAGGAGGTAACAAATTGTTCCTGCTCAGGTGGCTCTGGATGAGCTGCTCTGGGTTGTGTGTCTTGTGTGTGAAGCAGGGAGGAGTTAGTAGTGTATGGAAATATTTGGAAGCCAGAGAAATGAGTGTGCCCACTGGAGGCATTGATGTTTTTCTTATGTATGTCAGTATGCCAAGACTGGCTTTACTCAAAACACATACTGTTCTTTCTGGTCTAAGCTCTAGCTTCTGTTTTACCCAAATCTTTACAGCTTGGGTGACACACAGAGAACTTTTAATTCTGTTTACACTGGTGCAGAGGAAGAACCTGTTTCCTTCATTGAATCCACCAGTTTTGTTAAACCAGAATAAGTGCAGAGATAGGTTTCATGTTGGATAAACATGTAGTACTCCAGGCTGAGGCTGCAACAGAGAAGATACCAGTGTGTAGTTTAATCATCATTTTCCCTTTCTTTTTCCTAAATATATTCAGTACTTGGATACAGGGCAATATTGAAGCCCAGCATCTTGTTATCTGATGTGGAACTTGCTTCATGTTTGTTTATATGCTTTTTTCCTCAGAGGCCGCTGCCTTTTTACCAGCAGAATGTATTTTCCCTCATCTCACCTATTAACATGCCAAACAAAGAGTCTGAGATGGTCAAATTTATGGTCAAGCAAGGTTAGTAAACTCTGCATGATATACTGTGTGTGAAAAGGAAATTAGGTTTATGATTTTTAGTATGTAAAGACTTTGTTATTGTTTGCTGATGAAGAATTACTGCTTCTTTGATCACTGTGATTCTAAACAGTCTTAAAAATCCACATTCCTCAGTCTGCAGGGGGTCTGTTGTGGCCTTGTATCAAATTAGGTACTTCAGCCCAGGTTTTTAGAGCATCAAAGGGCTAAGTTAAAAAGGGTCATCTTCATTTTTTGAATATCCATTTCAAGTTTAACATCTGGTTTCTCTTTCTTCTTAGATAACCGTGAGGAGTTGAAATTTTCAAAGCTGCAGGTAACTGTTCATTTGGTGCATTAGAATTGAAATTTTGTCTGCTTAAAACAGAGCATTATCTGTAGTAGTGTGTTTAACTCACCGTTTGCAATTCTGTTTTAAGGCACACAAACAGGTGTTTGAGAAAATGTGGCTGACTTTTTTGAAGCACAAGGTGAGTGTTACTTCTGCCACTGATCTGTGTTGCTCTTTAATTTAAGGATTGCTGACCCTTAATAGTTTTGTCCAGCCTTGCAGGAAGCTGCTGGTAGGACCCCAGAATGTTTTGAGTGTTGGGTGGGAACAGCCCAGTGACCATTTCTGTTGGATCACTCTGCCAAGAAACATGACCTCATATATGACCTGCTTTTTCTCCTTACCCTCAGCCTTTTTTCCCTGCCTTAAACATCTCTGCCCATAAGGGTGATCTGCAGCATTACAATCTCTGCTCACAAGCTGAACCTTCCCCAGCCTTTTTCCTGCTGGTTTTCCCCATCTGAGTGATGAGGCTGTTAGCTGTCAGCTCCTGCTTCTTGAGTGAACTTCCTTGGTGTCACTTGTAAACTCTCCCATTTGGGAACTGCTGCTGCAAGCTGTTCTGCATTTTCCTGGCACATTCCCTTCTGCTTGTGCATTGCTTTTTTGAGACACAGGTTGCTGCTGCTGACTGAGTTCTCCCTGCAGTGCTTTCTCCGTGTTGTTTTGTCCTTCACAGCTGCCCCCTGGCCTTTACAAAAAGGTTCTTGTCATTCTGCACGACTCTGTCCTGCCTTACATGAACGAGCCCACTCTCATGATGGACTTCTTGACAGTGGCCTATGGCATAGGTGAGTGAGAACAGCCTTTTGTCCTTTGTGGCACCCCCAGCGTGGGACAGATGGACTTGGAAGCTCTGCTGGATGCAGCACCACACCCTGGGTGATGGAATGGGTGTACTTCTGGCTGGGATGGAGCTAAGGAGCTAATCAACTCCGTTGTCCCTGAAAGTGAGATGATCTTGCCTGTGTTTGTCAATGTCATTGCTCCTTGTGTGTATATTTAAGGCTTTGGGGAAGAGTAGAACACTGGAGTAAGATGTTTTAAATATAGAGTTCAGCCAGTGCTGCTGATCCAAACACAGGATCCAGATTCCTGCAGAAATGTGCTTTTTGAGCAGACTTTTGCCTCCCCACTGTGACTTTGTTTAGGAATTAGAGCAGCACATTTGGTGTCTCAGTTGTTGAACGTTTGTTCTACTAAACTACAGCTTAATCTTTGTAGGAAACTTGGGAGTCTCTGGAAAGGTGTAGATGAAATTGTGTCACCTTTCAGCCATCACACTGGCTCTGATTTCAGCTATTGAGTTTTGCTTTCCTTCTGGGAAGATTGTATTATAGAAAAAAAACTTGATTATTTTTTTCTACTTATTTTTGTTGTGTTGATATCTGTCTGTTTTCTTACAGGTGGAGCAATCAGTCTTCTAGCCCTAAATGGGTTGTTTATTTTGATTCATCAGCATAATCTGTAAGTAAAAAGAGTATATTGTTTAAAGGAACATGGGTTTTTGCATTTATGTCTTTATGTAAGAGAAACTGAAATGGATTCACTACACCTTTAGGCTTTGAAATTCCCCCATGAGAAAGCCAAACTGCACAAGAGGCTCAGGCTGTTTGGATGCTGAGCTTTTTGGCTGTCTGATTTCTTGTACAACTGAACCTAAATAGTCTGTTCTCTAGGCTGTGGTTGCTCAGCACTTAAAAATCAATTTCCATTGATCTGATTACAGGGTGAAGCCATGGTCTTTGGTGTCCCTTTCACTGCATCCTGTACCATTTGCAGTCGCTGGACATGGCTTCACACCCTGAAGATAGCTGGGCACTGCAAGAGCCATAAATTCACCTTGCAGCTTGTTTTCAAGTGGAGACTGTAGAGGGAAGCCTAAGAGAGCTAAACAGAGCACAGCAGTGGGCTGGGGTGCTGTTAATGAAAGCACAAATAGATTTAGACACAGTCCCTCTGTACACCACTAATGGATGGTGTATTTTTCCTATTTTCAACAGGGAGTATCCTGACTTTTACAAGAAGCTGTACAGTCTGTTAGACCCTTCCATCTATCACGTGAAGTACCGAGCTCGCTTTTTCCACCTGACTGATCTGTTTTTGTCTTCATCGTAAGTAGCATCTTTATTATGTGTGCTCACACATTTTCCTCCTGCTTTTCTGTTCTTGAGCAGTCTCCCACATGTCTGGATTTAATGTATTCAGTGTGCCTGCTGGATTAGATACATTTTTATGGAGAAAACTGATTCCGAGACTATTATTGTAGTCTTGTGTAATTTTTCATGTGCTATTTTTGAAGATTTGCCTCACAGCCATGGATTTTCAGAAAGGAAGAATTGCAGTTAGTTATCAGAGTTTGAGCTGCAAGTGCTTATGGATGTGTTTTTGATCTCTGTTCCACTTTGGGTGAAAGTGATGAATTTTCTGTCTTGTCTTTGTAAAAATGGAAAAGTAAAATTTGCAGGCTTTTTATAGATTAAAAAGCTGTTGATAAATGGATGGCTTTTTGCAGACATAAAGCACTGAAATGTGAAGTGTTTGACAGCCTGTCTTGATGTTGTCAGTTCACTGTACACAGGGAAGAAATGGGATAGGCAGCTGGTCATATAGTTGCTGTCATATATTATAAAATAACCCAACAGTAACACAGCACCAGGCACTTCATATCCAACC